GAAAGAAGGAACGCAAAAGGCAAGGGAGAAAAGGAAAGATACACCCAACTGAATGCAGAATTTCAGAGAATAGCTAGAAGAGATAAGAATGCCTTCTTAAATGAACAGTGCGAAGAAATAGAAGAAAACAATAGAATAGGGAGGACCAGAGATCTCTTCAAGAAAATTGGAGATATGAAGGGAACATTTCACGCGAAGATGGGCATGATAAAGGACCAAAATGGCAGGGACCTAACAGAGGCAGAAGAGATTAAGAAGAGGTGACAAGATTACACAGAAGAACTATACAAGAAAGAGCTTAACGTCCCTGAAAACCACGATGGGGTGGTCACTGACCTCAAGCCAGACATCCTGGAATGTGAAGTCAAATGGGCCTTAGGAAGTCTGAGCAACAACAAAGCTAGTGGAGGCGACAGTATTCCAGCTGAGCTATTCAAAATCCTAAAATACAATGCAGTAAAAGTGCTACATTCAATATGCCAGCAAATTTGGAAAACTCAGCAGTGGCCACAGGATTGGAAAAGGTCAGTTTACATTCCGATCCCAAAAAAGGCAATGCCAAAGAATGTTCAAACTACCACACCATTGCATTCATTTCACATCCTAGCAAAGTTATGCTCAAAATCCTACAAGCTAGGCTCCAGCAGTATGTGGATCGAGAACTACCAGAAGTACAGGCAGGATTTCGAAGAGGGAGAGGAACAAGAGATCAAATTGCCAACATATGCTGGATCATGGAGAAAGCTAGGGAGTTCCAGAAAAACATCTGCTTCATTGACTATGCTAAAGCCTTTGATTGTGTGGATCACAATAAATTGTGGCAAGTTCTTAAGGAGATGGGAGTACCAGACCATCTTATTTGTCTCTTGAGAAATCTATATGTGGGTTAAGAAGCAACAGTGAGAACTGGACATGGAACCACTGACTGATTCAAAATTGAGAAAGGAGTTCGGCAAGGCTGTATACTGTCGCCCTGTCTATTTAACTTATATGCAGAGCACATCATGAGAAAGGTGGGCCTAGATGAATCACCAGTTGGAATTAAGATTGCTGGGAGAAATATCAACAACCTCAGATATGCAGATGATACCACTCTCATGGCAGAAAGTGAAGAGGAACTAAAGAGCCTCTTGATGCGGGTGAAGGAGAAGAGAGCAAAAGTTGGCTTGAAACTCAACATTAAGGAAACTAAGATCATGGCATCCGGTCCTCTCACTTCCTGGCAAATAGATGGGGAAGAAATGGAGGTAGTGACAGATTTTATTTTCCTGGGCTCCAAGATCACCGCAGATGGGGACTGCAGCCAAGAAATTAAAAGACGCTTGCTCCTGGGGAGGAAAGCTTTGGCAAACCTAGACAGAATACTAAAAAGCAGAGACATCACCCTGCCAACAAAAGTGCGTATAGTCAAGGCTATGGTTTTCCCAGTTGCAATGTATGGCTGTGAAAGCTGGACCGTAAGGAAGGCCGAACACCGAAGAAAGAGGCGTTTGAACTGTGGCGCTGGAGGAGACTCCTGCGAGTCCCTTGGACCGCAAGGCGATCAAACTCATCAGTCCTAGAGGAGATCAACCCTGACTGCTCTTTAGAAGGCCAGATACTGAAGATGAAACTCAAATACTTTGGCCACCTAACGAGAAGGAAGGACTCCCTGAAGAAGAGTCTAATGCTGGGAACAATAGATGGCAAAAGAAGAAGAGGACGGCAGAGGATGAGGTGGCTAGATGGAGTCACTAAAGCAGTTGGTGTGAGCTTAAGAGGACTTCGGGAGATGGTGGAGGACAGGAAGGCCTGGAGGAATGTTGTCCATGGGGTCGTGATGGGTCGGGCATGACTTTGCAACTAACAACAACATAGAGCTTCTCCATCTTTGGCTGCAGAGCACATATTCAATCTGATTTCTGTGTTGACCATCTGGTGATGTCCATGTGTAGAGTCGTCTCTTGGGTTGCTGGAAAAGAGTGTTTGCTATGACCATCATATTCTCTTCACAAAATTCTACCAGCCTGTGCCCTGCTTCATTTTGTACTCCAAGGCCAAACTTGCCTGTTATTCCAGTTATTTTTTGGCTTCCTACTTTAGCATTCCAATCCCCCAGGATGATAAGGACATCATTTTTTGGTGTTAATTCTAGAAGGTGATGTAGGCCTTCATAGAACCGGTCAACTTCAGCCTGTTCAGCACCAGTGGTTGGGGCACAGACTTGGACTACTGTGATATTGAATGGTTTGTCTTGGATTTGAACTGAGATCATGCTGTCATTTTGGAGATTGTATCCCAGTACTGCTTTTCCTGCTCTTTTATTGACTATGAAGGCTACTCCATTTCTTCTGAGGGATTCTTGCCCACAGTAGCATACCTGATGGTCATCTGAATTAAATTCCCCCATTGCTGTCCATTTCGGTTCACTGATTCCTAAGATGTCGATGTTCAGTCTTGTCATCTCTCGTTTGACCACATCCAGCTTGCCTTGATTCATGGATCTTACATTCCAGGTTCCTATGGAGTATAGATCTTTACAGCATCGGGCTCTCCTTTCACCACCAGATACATCTGAGACTGAGTAGCCCTTCAGCTTTGACCAGTCACTTCATTCTTTCTGGCGCTACTAGTACTAGCCCTCCGCTCTTCCCCAGTAGCACATGGGACACCTTCCGACCTGAGGGGCTCAACTTCCGGCCTCGTATCTCTTTGTCTTTTGGTACTGTCCATGGGGTTTTCATGGCAAAGAGACTGGAGTGGGTGCCATTTCCTTCTCCAGTGGATCACGTTTTGTCAGAGCTCTCTGCTATGACTGTCCATCTTGGGTGGCCTGCACGGCACAGCTCAGAGCTTCATTGAGCTACGCAAGCCCCTTCATCACGGCAAGGCAGTGATCCATGAAGGAGAAAAGACATGATATATGATGATAAATTAAACCGTCTTTCACCAAGGCAGGCGAGACGGCTCTATTGCAGGGGTTATAATCAGAATGCTTTCATTGTCACAATTTTAAGAGCCTCCCTACAAATGCATTTCCCCCAGCCTGTGCTTCTCTCAGTATTTTTCCTGTTTCCTGGTCTCACCACCCCAGCAATTAAGCAGTAGTTCACCGAAGTAATTTTAGACCTTGAGCTAAGAAGGCAGACCAATCCACCCGCCGTACATAGCCATTTTTATTACTTCATGGAGAAGGCTACCCACAGCCACTAGTCCTGATGGCTCTATGCCACGTCCAGACCAGAGGCCTGTGTACATCAGTTGCTGGGGAACATGAGTAAGGGAGTGCCATGATTATGGGTTTCCCATTTGTAGAGCTGCTGGGCCACTGGAGGCAGAAAATGCTGGGCCAGACAGATCCTTGGTGTCACCTGGCAGGGATCTTCTTGTGCTCTTAGATCCACAAAGAACAGCACTCCTTTGCAAAACAAAGCCATTGCAAAAGGGGACCTTGACAGACGAAAATGATATTCCCAGAGCAAGCACAACGACATCCAAAAGCTACTGAGCACACCCCTCAAGTCCTGAGCATCCAAATATAACCATTTTACACCACCCATTTTCCAAACACCCACAAGGAACAACAGCAAGAAAGCAGCATAAAAGGGAAATCCAGCTCAAAAATCCTTACCTTGCTGGCTGGGGGATGCTGGGATTTGTAGTCTGTCACATTTGGAGGGCACTCTGTCCGGGAAGGCAGTGGTTTCGTACGCTGATGTTAGCTGGACCGTTGTCAAATAGTACCCCCTGTCGTGCATGAAATGAATAACAGTTACAAAGCATCCATCATAAATACTTCCAATAAAAGCTGTACTACAGCAAAAGCTTTCATGGAATTGCACCTGTTTGATTAGCTGCCCTGATGTATTGTCCTTCATTAATTAGCCATTGCTGGTTTTTTGTTGTTAGTTGTTAATGGCTGTTTTTAATGTGCTTTTCCTACTTTAAAAAAAATCTTTATACTGCATATGGTTTTATTGCTGAATGCCATTTCGGGAGGGCATCTGCTGTGAAAGGCAGGCAGGAAATCTTTAAACAGATAAAGGCACAATCCTATGCATATTTAGACAGAACTAAGGCCTATAGCTCCCAGCCATGACCTGCAGCAATTTTTCTGCAGGAACAAGCCCAGCATCACATCCCAAGGAGCTTATTTAGGGAACTTCTTTCCAAATCTTTGTACTATTTAATAAATGTATAATTTTGAGACTCAGTTTTATGCACTCCTTTCTAGCATTTGCTAGAATGACTGGGGGAAGGGGGGAATCTATCACTTCCAACACACTCTGACCAGGTATGGGTCTAGAATACGCTGTGAGTTGTATTTTTAAAAGACCACACACTAACTCACTGATTCTGCCTCCCCTCACCCCCAGTAAGAGAACCTAGCAGGGCTGGTTGACCTTGCTGGAAACTGTAGGCTTTTAATTCCTGTCTAAACAGGCATAGGATTTCCCCATAAATCACGTTTTCTGCCATTTTCCCCTCTTGCAAGGAACCAAAGGCAGCCAAATATACATCAAGAAAGCATACTGATCTATAGGAACGTATATATTCCACCAATATACTAATTTAGTCTATCAACATATTCTATCAATCCATCAACTTCTGTGGCAATATATAATATGTAATAAGAACCAGTATGGTGTAGTAGTTCAAAGCATGGGACTGGGACTCAGGCCATGGAGCCAACTGGGTGGCTCTGGACCAGTCACAGACTCTGAGCCTGGCCTACCTCACAGGGTCGTTGTTGTGGGGACAAGCTGGAGAGGAGGAGGAGGTCAGCTGCTTTGAGTTCTTTAAAAAAGAAAAAGATGGGCTATAAATCTGATAATACAAATAAAGTAAATATCACCACACCAGATGACGGATAGGGATACCTGGCCTGCTGGGGACCCGCCTCGAGGCGGAACTCTTCTCGCCCGGCCCTTGGCGCACCGGCCGCATTGCGACGTGCGCGGGGGACTCTTGGAGCGACGGACCGCGCCGCTGCCGCTGCCGCCGCCTTTGGGTGAAGGAAGCCAAAATGGCGGGCGAAAGCGACGCCGAAGGCGGCGACGGGAAAAGCGACCGTCAGGCCGGCGGGGAAGGCTCCTCGGGGGCCGGCAGGGCTGCCGTCACCCCGGCGGTGCCGCGCGACAAGCGGCTGGTGTGCGTGGAGTACCCCGGCGTGGTGCGGGACGTGGACAAGGCGCTCCTGACGCTGGGGGGCGAAGAGGGGGTCTCTCGGGTGAGGCCTTCTCCTTAGGAGCCCCTCGTTGTTCCTCGGGGGAGAGCTGCCGGAGCTGGAGACCCTCTCTAGCCTCTGCTTTCCCCTTGCAGCGCCGGCATGTATCGGTTGCGGGGAGGGCTGTACTTTGCGTATGTTCCGGGAACTCTTCTTTTTTCTCCCTGCAAAATGCAATAATAGTGATTGAGATTCTCTCCCCAGACATACGCTCCATTTCTTTCCAGATACGATGGACTACAATTTCCATTACCCCTGGCCAGCCTGATAGGAAGCCTTAGGAAGTCAGCCTTCCCCAACCTTATGCCCTTCAGGTTAGGTGTGCTGCAGTGCAACTTGCAGTATCGTTAATAGGACCCAGATATCCACAGGCCTAGCCTACCTCTCCATCCACAATAAGATAATGGCCCCATTGTTAACTGTACCCTCTTGTTGCTGTTGTTGTTTTCCCTCACTTCCACTGGCTTCCCGAAGTGACTTACGGAAATTCTTAATTGATACAATAACCCCGCCCCGCCCAAGATCAATAGAAGCCTTAAAATGGTATAAGAATGCAAAGGGAAAAAAACACCATAAGCATATTCTTTAAAAAGAATTGTTGTTAATAGTGAAGTCGTGTCCAACCCATCACGACCCCATGGACAACATTCCTCCAGGCCTTCCTGTCCACCATCCCCTGGATCCACTCAAGCTCATGCCAACTGCTGCTTCTTTTGCCATCTATTGTTCCCAACATTAGGCTCTTCTCCAAGGAGTCCTTCCTTCTCATTAGGTGGTCAAAGTATTTGAGTTTCATCTTCATGATCTGGCCTTCTAAAGAGCAGTCAGGGTTGATCTCCTCTAAGACTGACTGGTTTGATCACCTTGCGGTCCAAGGGACTCGCAGGAGTCTCTGCCAGCACCACAATTCAAAGGCCTCTTTCTTCGGCGCTCATCCTTCCTTATGGTCCAGCTTTCACAGCCATACATTACAATTGGGAAAACCATAGCCTTGACTATACGCACTTTTGTTGGCAGGGTGATGTCTCTGGTTTTTAGTATTCTGTCTAGATTTGCCATAGCTTTCCTCCCCAGGAGCAAGTGTCTTTTAATTTCTTGGCTGCAGTCCCCATCTGCGGTGATCTTGGAGCCCTGGAAAATAAAATCTGTCACTACCTCCATTTCTTCCCCATCTATTTGCCAGGAAGTGATAGGACCGGATGCCATGATCTTAGTTTTCTTAATGTTGAGTTTCAAGCCAACTTTTGCGCTCTCTTCCTTCAACCGCATCAAGAGGCTCTTTAGTTCCTCTTCACTTTCTGCCATGAGAGTGGTATCATCTGCATATCTGAGTTTGTTGATATTTTTCCCTGCAGTCTTAATTCGAACTGGTGATTCATCTAGCCCCGACTTTCTCATGATGTGCTCTGCATATAAGTTAAATAGACAGGGCAACAGTATACAGCCTTGCCGAACTCCTTTCTCAATTTTGAACCAATCAGTGGTTCCATGCCCAGTTCTCACTGTTGCTTCTTCACCCACATATAGGTTTCTCAAGAGACAAATAAGATGGTCTGGTATTCCCATCTCTCTAAGAACTTGCCACAATTTGTTGTGATCCACACAATCAAAGACTTTAGCATAGTCAATGAAGCAGAAGTAGATGTTTTTCTGGAATTCCCTAGCTTTCTCCATGATCCAGCGTATGTTGGCAATTTGATCTCTAGTTCCTCTTCGAATAATACCATATGAAAAATGTTAATCTGCATATATATCCCCTCCCCCGCCGACCCAGAGCCGTCTCTTCCAACTTAGCACTTTCCAGATGCATTGGATTGCAACTCCCATAATTCTTAGTTAGCACGGCAATAGATATGGTAGCTAGGAATAATGAGAATTGGCATTCAGCCTTTTTAGAGGCTGGGGTATCCGGCTGGGGAAGGTTGGCCTAGAATGAATACTACAAAAGCAGCCCATGATGACTTGGCTCTGCTCCAAGCTGCCAGGTATAGTTTTCAGGGTCTCAGGCCAGGACATGGATGGCCAGAGACAAGACAGAGGCACAGGGACCAGTGCAAGAGAACTTGAGGCAAGATAGAGTCTAAAGTCCAAATGTAACTGGCATTAATGGCAAGTCCAACTCAGTCATAGTACAGGCCAACCAGGAAAACAAACACGGTTCAGATACCTTAAACCTTTGTCACTGTGCGAAAGCTGAAAAACTATCAGAAGGTCAAGGGGAAGGGTGTGTGACCATCTCAGGAAGCCTGGAGGGCTTGAGATTCAACTCCTCTGGACTGGATTAATCTTTGTCTGATTTAACAAGACAGTTCATGTATCCCGTTACAAACTAGGCTGGGATGGGGATGGTGACAGGCCAGCTAAAAATCCATCATGGCTCCAATTTAGCTCATGGGCTTTTAGTTGCCTTCTTTTATCTAGATGCATTTTTGGTCATAAGGATGACCCTGTGTGTAGCAGTTTGAGGGGAGTTCTCAAGTGGACCTTCTGAATTCATATTCTTTGTAGAAGGGGGTGATTTTGGAAGTGAAATGAGTGTTAGAAAGCCTAATTGCAGGGGTCAGATTCAATCAACCATTATTACATGTGGCTGATTTACATCCTCTTTAGATCTATGCTGACCCAAGCAGAAGACTTGAGCTATACTTCCGCCCCAAAGATCCTTACTGCCACCCTGCTTGTGCCAACCGTTTCCCTACATCTTCCATGCTCCTCAAAGTGAGAAAGAAAACTTGGAGGAAACAGACAGAAGCTGGTGATTTTGAAGAAGAAAGTACATTTGAAGTGGAGGTCCTTGGCATAGTCACCACAGTTTATAAGTTTCAAGGTAATCCTTTGTTCTGACCTGCTTGGAGTATGCATGCGTGCAACCTAGATGGTGCAATATAGCATTTTCTTCCTCTGTTTTGTATAGCCAGCAGGTGTTTCAGATTATATTTCCCAGCATTGCTACCCAAAAGCCTATTATTTGTATAAGTCAGATATTAATCCTGGACCTTATGCATACAAACCTTGGTCCTCCTACTGATTTTTGAGCTTTTTCCAATAGTCGGTTGTAAAGTCCTGGATCAAATCCAACCAGAGCTTTCCCTAGAAGCAAAAGTGACAAAACTGAGGCTATCATACTTTGGACATATCACAGGAAAACAGAACTCTGGGGAAGACAATCATACTATGGAAAGTCAAAGGCAGAAGAAAACCAAGACCAGATAAATGGATTAACTCCATAAAGGAAGCCACAGCCTTGAATTTGCAATTGCTGAGCAGGGGTTGTCATGGATAGAACATTTTGGAGGGTTGCCATAAGTCAGAGTCAACTGGATGGCACATACCATTTTTATAATGACCCATAACTGAAGCTCTGTGGGAGTTCCATAAGCCAAAGCTTTAAACCAAAAATACAACAAGACAGTAAAAACTTGTATGAAAAAATTAAGTTTAAAACACAGTATCATTTGATGCGGATACCTGGAGGGTCGCCTCTGAGGTCAAACCTAGGGACTTGGGAGGTATATATGGAAGTTAATCTAGCCCCAAACTATTTAGGGCTTTGTACATTAAGTATTTTTCCAGTGCTTTGAACAGACCCAGAAATGGAAAAGTGCAGATTTCATTACTGATTGTTAAAATGGTTGAAAGAATGCTCTCTAAAGTGATGGTGAGAGAAACCAGGACAGAACATGTGAACTCTGAATCCGCTGGTTCTCATACATTGTAAGAATAGTTTTCTTCCCCCAAGGCAGTCCAGAAAAAGAGGTGCACTGCTAGATGGGACGGAAGTGTTCATTGCCAAGAAATGTTCAAATTATTGGTTAAGAAACTTCTCTAACTCAACCTGTTTAAAGAATTAATTCAGCTTGGAGATCATTAATGTTCTTTTATTCAGATTATTAAATACCAACCTAGGTAATATTTTAAAAGAAAATGCATTATATTAACACTAAATATCACATTAATTTACAAGAAACTTACTCTTATTTCTCTAAAATTAAAAAATCAGTTTATTAAAAAATATGAAACTTAATGTACTTTTCTCTGCCTTGACTAACTGAAATTTAGTCAGCTATAATGTCTCTCTCAGGGCATATTGTCAATACATAACTAGCTAAATATTATTAATAATACATTGCATTTCTATTCTGCCAATAGCCAAAACTGTCTGAGTGGTTCACAACATTTAAGTCACCCATCCGGGTTTCAGCCAGGCCTGGCCCTGCTTCACTTCCCAGAGTAGGCACAATCAGGCAGTTCAGGCTATAAACAAAAGCGCCCCTCATTTATGTTTGAGTATTGCTCAAGGTGCCCACCTCTGTCGTAATGGCTTCATTTAGTCGTGCTGTGAGGGAAACTCTGGTAGCCATTGAGGTGAACCTGCATGTTTCTGTTTCATTGTCTTCAGGGATGTCTGATTTCCAGTACTTGGCCGTGCACTCAGGCCCTGAGGGCAAGCAAACATCCATGTATGACAAAGTCCTGATGCTCAAGCCAGAGAAAGAGGAGTTCTTCATGAGTGACATGCCACTTTATATTCCTCCACCCATTTTCTCACGCCTGGACACACCTGTAGACTATTATTACCGCCCAGAAACACAACACAGGTCAGTGCCTTTCTTGTAGCAGTAGCAAATAGCCTTTCACTAAGCCTTCAGGACTTGGAGCTGTACCTGGGCTGTCGACAGCAAGGATGCAGAACCTCTCTCAGCCAAAGGCTGGATTTTCTTTTGGAAGAGCGCTTGGTGGGCATGTGCCAGTGGTTGAAGAGACCAAATGCAAGAGGGGCAAGCCAGCATGTTTTAGCTTAAAACTCTTATTGCCGTTAAGTAAGCTTTGAGAGATATTATATTTCCACCTTTTAGAATAGGAGGAAACATGGCAGCAAAACTAGGAAACCAATAAGTGATTGGGAGTGAGGCAAAAGGGGTGGGACATGAGGGAATGCAGTGTTCTGGGGAACTCCACAGGGCTGGATTGGTTCCCTGGGCCTGAGGTTCTGTGCCTTGATACGTAGGTCTAACTGCTGTTTGAGCCAAAGATACTTACACCCTGGAGCTGCTCTTACGGGAGTCCGTGAGCAAGTTTTTACATGGCTGACAGCTACAACTGGCATTTGTAGAGAAACTCCAGCTGGATTTGTTTATTCCATGAAGGCATGGTGGAAGAAGCATGGTGGAAGAAACACGTGCTTCTTTTTACAGGGTACCTTTCTTCTTTATTCATCAGTGCAGCTGCTTCTGTCTCAGCACTCCAAGTCCCAGGTTTGGACGGCTGATTTTACCTTGCTCCATGCTATGTTGTTACTGAGGTGGTGTTGGCTGGCAGTGGCTGTTCAGTGAATAGAGATAACAACAGAAACGCCTCTCATGCTAACACCTTGAGTTTTTCTCACTGTTGTCCTTCATCCAAGATGAAGAAAAACTAAATGAGTGGAAAAGTAAATATGCTGCAACATGGTCTGAATTTTGATTTCCTACCTTTGGTATCATTTTCTAACCCAGGAGTTGGAACCCAGTAGACTTCGGGGCCCAGGTTACTATGGCCCTTGCTGCCATCCAGTCACTAGTTGAAGTGCTCGCTGGAGTTCTTCCAATTAGCTCTTTGGTGAGGGAGCCTTCCCTGCAAGGGGCAAGAAATAATCGTGTCCTAATTCTGGGACATTTCCCCTCCTTCCCAGCTTAAATCTGAATCCCAAAACTTAGTTTAAGTGCTTTCAAGAAGCACTCAAGCTTTGGATTGAAAACTCCTGAATTGAATAGAGACATAAAGGAGGTAGCTATAATAAATAGATGTGTTTGGATCAAAAGGAGTTCATTGTGTAGGAAATGTTTGTATATATTGGTATTAAATGGCAGGAAAATCCTATGTTGATCCATTCCTTTTCTGTGCTTTGGTGCCACCCATTACCTCAGGTTTTCCCATCCTTTTTTAAAATCCTCCCTTCAGTTAAGACTCTTTTTTCTCAAAAGTACATAAAACAAAATACCCAACACAGATTTTAAAACTTCCAATCATTTTCTTCCCTCCCTCCTGAATATGTGGTTGGATACTTTCATTAATTTTCTAATTCAATACTGAATACAATGCGCAAACCTTCACAAACAAATTATTCCCTAGTTGGCATTCTTCCCCGGCCCTTAGATAACTTGTCAATTGTATCTGTTTGCCCACTTTTTTCCAAAGAGCCTTGAAAATTTGGCACGGTCACCTTTTTCCATATCCTAGCTGCATATAAAATATTTTTTAAAACCATAAAATGACAAGTGTCACCTTTCCCCTGTTTAAATCATACCGAAACATGGGTAAGACTGGGGCCTCCAGTGGGGTGCCTGTGGCTGAGACCTCATGGTCCTCACCAGGTTCCCTGCCCATCCTGATTTGCACGTTATTTTTATTTTTATTTTTTGTATCTGGAAAAGATACCTGATTGGCTGGCATGCTGCGAAGTGAAGGGTTGCCCTCCAGCGCCCTTTTGTTTGTGTTCGGAAGAGTGCTTTTTTGTACTGGATTTCAGACGCACATCTGCCTCATGCTTGGGTTTCTGGGCAAGGTACTTCCTCTAGTTTCACCAGTTTGCCTTCCGGAAAAAATGAGTGTTCTGTGAATGGCCACATCCACTCTGGTAGCTATTTTATGAATAGGCAAATTCCTTATGGTGGCAACTGTTTTGGAAAATTCCATATGTGTTCAGAAAAGGGACAGGACCCCTGGGGTAAGGCATCAAGTGGTAGTTTATCATCCAACGTTCCACATTACTCTGTCCAATCCTAACACACTGATAGGAAGAAATTGTTCATCTTCTAAGGGAAGGGGTGGGGTTTTTGGTACTAATATTTAGAACTTCCACAGTACCACACACAGTAGTGGTACAGTAAGGCCTCTCTCCGAGATAGGATGGAAGGCAGCATTGTACAGAGGGACTTTTTGGAGGAATGATCCAAGGGATTCCCTGTTTGCTGCCTTGGCCATTGGCCTGTGGGGTCCCTCGGGATTCCAACGTATCCCGCGTGATGCCGATCACATACATGACATCTGATGAATCACAGCTCTGCCTTTCTGTTCCATCTATATCCAAGGAAGCTGCTCTGGTTCTAAATTGGTGCCTGAGGAAGGTAAACAAGTTAAAACTTAAACCAGACAAGGCCAAAATGCCAGCCTGTCCTAGCTTAAAGCTCTTACTGCCAGTAATTAATATGTAGGAGAGCCATTCCAGCCTTTTAGAATGGGGAAATCCCAATTAGTAGGGGCAGTTGGTGATTGTGGGAAAGGGAGGATAGCCAGAGAAGAAATGTTGCCTTCTGGGATGTTCGAGAGGGGTGAATTGGCATCTCAGGCCTGAATTTCTGTCCCCCTGGTATATACTGTGAAAGAAAGCAAACTTTTCTTTTTTTTTAATTAACTGTTAAAAAGAAGGGTTTTTAAATATACTGCAGTGCCCAACTGAGTTGAAAAGGCCTTGTCTTGCTTTTTCCTTTCATTGCTTTCCAGGGAAGGATATCACAACCCTTCTGTGTCTAGTGAGAATCTGATAGGCCTCAGCAGGGCTCGCCGGCCCCACAATGCCATTTTTGTCAATTTTGAGGATGAAGAGATCCCCACCAAGCCCTTGGATGCAGCAGAGCAGACCTGGAAGAGAGTTTGCAGCAACGCCATGGACCACAAAGCAGAAGAAGAGTTGAGAAAAGTAGGTGCAAAATTAGGTTCTCAGCTAAAAAGAAGTGTGAACAAGATGCATTTGTTTGGAAATTTGCATCCTCAAGAGAGCCTGGATTGCCTGGGACTGCCCAGTGTACAGCTGGTGGTACAGCCAGGTTTGCCAACATGTGGAAGTGCCCTGAGCTATAGAAGGAGTTGGCAGACTGGTGAGCTGCACTCAGCTTGCTTAGAATCTCTACTTCTAAAAAAAGTTTCCTTAAAAATGCATGTTTCTAGCCCATATGCTTGCACAGGTGAGCTGGGACATAATGGTAGCATGATACAGAGCTGTCTCAGAGGCTGTGGGGAAGGAGGCTGAGCTGGGCAGAGTTTGCACTGGTTAGGGGAAAGACCCTGGAATGCTGTGTTGCTCCTTGTTCATTTCTATGATGAACTGAATAAATAATGCTGCTAAACTGGATTTTCCATAATTCAGATCAGTTTTTATTTTATTTATTTATTTTTCAATTTATATCCTGCCTTTGTAGGAAAAAGGGCTCAAGGCAGCTTACATCTCCTCCTCCATCTTGGGGAATGTTGCTTTTTCTTGTTGCAGAATGTAGGTTAATCTGACTTTTTTTCTTTTTGACCCATGTCTAACCAGGCTTTGAAAACCACAGAGTTTGTGATAACCTTTTATTTTGGGCTGCCTGGAGTATAAATAACTTAATATCACCTATGGTGGTACTAAGTTGCTTACTGAACGAAGATGTCTTTGGTTATGCTTCTCGATCATAGTCATGCAATCTTTGGCCATGCAATTGTTCCTAAAAGCAAAACTGAGCCTATAGACCAGGTGCAGTGTGTTAGAGATCCTTTCTGTCAGCCTGATGAGCACAGTATTCTGACTTTAAGCATTTAGGTAATGCAAATATATATGCCATCCTTCAGGTAAATGGTTCTCAGAGCCAGTAACACACAAAAAGAACAAAATGACAAGTTATTAAATGAAAGATCTGCTTTGTAGAACGACCAGAGTGTCTCTGCCTAATGCAGAATTTAAAAGGCAGCATGAATGCAAGATGGACTCGGGTTGGGTCCTACCCTGCAGTAATTAAAAAGGAAGTTTGTCATTCGGGAGGCAAGTTTGGCTATCTTTTTTCTCTCTCCCATTTTCTCTTATGAGTATTTTTTTTTTTTAAGCTGTTTGAAGTCCGACCTGTCTGGTCTCGTAATGCCGTGAAAGCCAATATCAGTATTCATCCTGATAAACTTAAGTTTCTTCTGCCATATTTAGCTTATTATATGGTGAGTACGATACGTTTTTTCACAGTTCCATGCTAATTTCTTTGTTTGCAGACAACCTGCATGGAGTGGCGCCCCCAAGCACACCTGTGTCACTGTTGAGTGTGGTGTAAGCTGGGTGTGGTGTGCCTCCTCTGCCCGGGTTCCTCAGACTTGGCCCCTGCCATTGTGTACCCCAGGCTCACTGAGCGAGATTTGTCCTCTCCATTACTCTGTGTGTGTGCGCGTGTGCGCGCGCCAGGGGGATGTGGGGAGATAACTCCTCAGCAAGTGGGAGGGAGCAGGTGCTTATCTCAGTTTCTCAGCCTATTAGTCTCATCAGTCTTCAAACTAATATCAGTTATGTGCTGGTAAAGGAGTTCTGGCTGAAGGTGTTCCTGTGAGTTTTAACATAATTAAATATGTTTTAAAACAAAACAGCCTCAAGGGGCACATTCCTAAGGTCCCCTTAGTGTGTATGCCGCATTTAGGTGTCCGGGGCTCACAGTCTTGCAGCTTTGGTATTGACAGACACACACTCTCTCTCTACTCGCTATCGATAGCAACACCCTTGCGATATTTTGTGCGTTAGGCTGTCAACTATTTGTGTGTTGTTGCTGTACCTGATGAACAGTGCAATATCAATTGCATTGTCTGCTGCAATTTTAAATAAAAAAAGCTTGTTGCTGTAAGGAAGTACTCCAAGGTAGAACAAGTCTGGAAATGAGGCATTTGCCCCAGGTTCTCCAGAAAGAAGTCTGAAAACACTTGACAACCTAGGCAGAAGGCAAGGCTCAAGCTAGTGACATTTCCTTCCCCTGTCAGCTTTAAAGGTTCCAGCAGTGGTGAGAAAGGTGCATTTGTTTGTGGGTAAGAGAATGATCTTCTGAAACCTCAGATTAGATGCCAAAAGCTCAGAGTTCAGGGAGCATTTCTCTCTCTTAGAATGAAGGCTTGTTTAAATGGTGTGTGCAAGAAATCAGAGTTTTGTATATTATTGTACTTGTATGTCGTCTCCATAGCTAACAGGTCCCTGGAGAAGCCTGTGGGTTTGCTTCAGTTATGATCCAAGAAAAAACCCCGAAGCAAAAATCTACCAAGTCCTGGATTTCAGAATTCGCTGTGGAATGAAATACGGTAAACACACAAACAAGCAGCGAAAACACTGCTGTACTCTTCTCTATCACTAGAACCCTCTCCACGTGTGCACACGCTTTTGTGTGCTCTTGGAGTTGTCGGGTCCGTGCTGTGAGAGGGCCAGGCTGCTTAGCAGTGGAAGTCCTGCGAGGTGCAACGCTTCTTCTTGCCATTTGAACTGCTTCCTCTCACAGCAGTCCCTTGTGGGGCTGAGAAGCTCTGCATCTGGGCAGAACCTCTTTTCTAGCAATTTGTGAAGATAATGAGAATCGTCTTAAAGGACGGATTTGGCAGCCATTTGTTCTCAGGTCCCGCTTCCTGGCCCCTTCCCTGTCGGCTCCCTTTGGGGCTGAGGGCTGATTTTCCTGTCAGCTTCTCCTCTGCCCCTTTCCAAGCAGCATAAGAGCTGTGCTGGATCATACCCAAGTTTTGACCACTCGAGTATTTCATTCCCACCGTGGTCAACCAGATGTCCCAGTGGGACACCCATAAGCAGGGTATATGTGGAATGGCACCCTCCTAGCCATGTTGCGGGGCGGGGGGGGCATGCTGCCTTGGATTCTGGAGGCAGTATCTGGTCTCCACAGTGAGTAACTATTGATGGTGTTTCCCACCATGAAATGATCCACTCTGTGGTGCCATTATTTGGGTAGTGGAAATATGTGGGCGTCTTCTTTTCAAGGCCTGTGGATGTGGAGGGAGGGGGGAGGGAATGGTGGGAGCCAAGAAAGAGAGTAAATTTGAGCCCATCTCTCAGTCCCTTCTCAGCAGGATCTTTGACTCTTTGCCCTTACAAGCTTCCTTAAAAAAAAGTGCAGCCAAGAAATCGGGAGGGAAAACGGCTGGTTTCCTGCAGATGCAAGGCAGCTCCTCCATAATGAAGTTGCCTGTTAAGCAGACAGACACGTGTGGTGCCATACGACGGATTTGAAACGTTCCACGTTGAGGAAGCCCTTGATCTCCCTGAACGCCAGCCTTTACCCATCCAACTGCAAACTTCTGGGAGGTGCTGAGAGTTCCGGGGAGTGGCTTGGCGCACACTTGGTCATCTGGAGGCGCTGCTCAGGCCGTTCTGGCCTCACAGTTGCCTTTCGTGGCCTGAGTGTTTGCCCTCCAAAGCACCTTCTGTTCTGCACACCGGAGATCTGGGAGCAAATCTGCCTCGTCTGCTAAGGCCGCCCTTCTTGTGGAGTGGCTTCCAGACAGCCCCACCGGTCGACCAGGGATGGTGTTGCAGTTCCCCTGGAGATGCTCTTTCTGCACTGTGGCTCCTCCCTCACAGACATGTTTCTTCTCCTTAGGATACGCGCCAAACGACATGCCAGTAAAAACCAAGCGGAGCGCCTACAACTACAGCTTGCCCATCACAATAAAAAAACCAGGTACGCTGTGTGGATGAGGCAGGTGGGCGGCTGCTTTCTCTTGCCTTCTCCGGCTCAGGAGAAGCATGAATGAAACCCCCGTGACTTCTGCCAAGCATTTACCGGACTCTTTCCAAGGTCAGTGCAATGCGGGAATAAGATAAGCTTGGCAAGATGTTTGCTCTGACTGCATCTCAGCTTGGGGACCCCACGGCCCTGCTGGGTTTAGCCCCCGGGCTGGTTACTCGCCCCTGGTGTAAGCTGGGTGGCTCTGCTGTGTGACTCTCGAGGCCACTTGCTCTGTTGGGTCTGCTGCGCACAAAGGGTGATTTCTGCTGGTCGTGGCCCAGCAGGTCACATGTTCTTCTCGGGTCTGAATTAAAAGGAGAAGGGTCTGATCATGTTGTATCGCAATTTCTGTGTACCTTTTCATGCAGTCATGTAATTTGGAGAATCTCCTCCCACTCTTTTCAGCAAGTCATGCAGTCGGCATACAGGACCTGAAGCACGGGCTGAGCGCGTCTGGGACGGCCAGTGGGAAAAAGCCTGCCTTTAGCAAGTACAAACTTAAGGTAGGCACTGGGCCTCTCCTTGCTTGTTGTACCATCTAGCCTGACGAAGAGTTCTGGATAGCCCAAAAGCTTGCATATTTAATAGAATTTTGTTTGGGATTGCTATATTTTACTTGGTATAAAGGTATTGCCAAATGATGGATTTTGGGTTGTTTACTCGCGGGCCAGAATAGCTACCATCTTTACTTTTTAAAGTAAAATGCATTGCTTTGTGGAAAGGGAACATCCATGAGCTTCCAATCCTGCCTGGCATCCGTGTGGAAACAAGGCCTTCCAAGCCCAGAAGGTGGTTTCGAGCAGCCGGAGTGGGGCAGGGTGGGGCTGGATCTGACTAACAGGAGGACTCTTGCCCCCCTGGGGGCCTGGAAAACGAGAGCAGCTTGGGTGTTCTCTGCACTGAGCCCATGGAGGCGGCAAGACTTTCCACGCTTAGAAATTCATCCACGCCCTTGTGTGGAAAAGTTTTGGCCTTCCGGCTCAGTCTTGTTTCTGATTCTATCCCTCTCCTTCCTCTTTTAGGATTCAATTTATATCTTCCGTGAAGGGTCCCTGCCCCCTTATCGGCAGATGTTCTATCAGCTCTGTGACCTGAATGTGGAATGGTATTTGCACCAATCATTTGAATGCTCCTGTAATGCTCGGGGGCGTTTTGATTGCCTTCTGAGAATCTGCCTTAGCCGCACAGGAATCCTCCCCACCAGCCTGCCAGGCCAGTGGAAATGCCCTCTCTTACACTGGAAAACATTCGGCTGACAAGTCGAGAAAGTCACGAGCATTCGTGCATTGCATATGCAGTCTACAGAATGCCTCGGAGCTTTCGGCCCCTTGGCAGTGTTCCCAGCCATGCCCCCACGGTCAGGTGTACCACCTGGCCCCAGCTCCAGGTGTCCCTGTATTGGCATGGTCCTCTGAAAGAAGGGGTGGGTGGTATTCTTGAGTCTAGGGTGGCCCAGTGGCACAGCCCCTTTCCAGTAATGGCCTGGACAAGAGCAAAACCGGAGGGTGGTCTCTGTTCAGCTTGCAGAAGATCATCCACCGGAATGACGGCATGGAGACGGTCTGCACTGAACGAGACGGCTGGTGCCTTCCCAAGACCAGTGATGAGTTACGGGATGCAATGTCTCTGATGATAAAACAGATAATCCGCTCAGCAAGGCCTGGTAAATAATACTAATATTAATAATACTAATATCTCTTCCTCTTGTGAGAAACCCAAGGTGACTGGCTCAGTTCTCTTCTGTTAAGTGTTCCTTCTGGCAGGAGGAGACAGGTGGGTGTGCTCAGGTTGGTCTCTCCCCTAGCCTGATATTCCTCCTGAACAGCAGGAAAGGCAACCTCCCAGTGGCTCTAGAAAAATTGTGATCCTTTGCTCTTGTGCCAGGCTCAGCTATGTCCAGCTTCTTAATTAGTGAACATTAGACTGAGTAACCCCCCGGTAGGATTCACCTTTTTAATTCTTTTCCCCTGCCTGCTTCAGCTCTGTTCACAAGTACTTCAAACGCCGAAGAGGGCAAAGAGCAGCTGACATTTGAGTCTGGAGAGGAGGAGGAAGAGGAGGAGGAGGAGGAGGAGGAGGAGGAGGAATTCAAGCCTTCCGATGGGAGCGAAAACGAAATGGAGACAGAGATTCTGGACTATGTGTGATGCCACATGCCTGATGTGGACACATTTGTGGGGGAAATCTTTGCAGCCCATGTTTTGGTGAGGGACATGGGGACAGGCAGGCCAACTTGATCTGCAGGCTCTGTGTGATGCCCTTTACCCCCCCCCCCCGGGCTGTTTCCACTCCTGGCCCCCTTGGCTGCTCTCCTGGGATTGATCTGGCCTGCAAGGCACGTGTGGCGCTTGACCACAATCAAAACATGCCGCTGAGTAACTTCTGCTCTGACGCCATTTGTGCTCAACAGCAGTAGCTGCCCTTCCAGATTCTCCCCACCACGGCTGTCTGTTCCCCCGTTCGTCATGGACTGCGCTCCGTGGCACTTTGGCGCTGTGCAGATGCCATTTCACTCCAGCATTGACTCATGGAAACCTGTTCTTACAAGTGGTTACCAAGGATATTGATACTGTGCACAGATACCTTTTCCTGTCAGGTACACTGAAAGCCGGCAGAGCCGCATGGACCAAGTTTTTGGTGGTCTTGTCAAACCAGACTGATTTTATGCAGCCACCAGGAAGCCTCTCCAACTTGGCTGTTTCTTGTGGCAAAGAAGCAATGGACTCTCGCAAACTCATTCCTAGAAGAACTCTGTCGCTCCCAGGGATGCTGGTTCATGCTGTCGGGCTCATTTCCCTGTGCTGTGCCGTCAAAATGTTTTCTATCACATTTGATCCACGGTTCCCTGCAGCAAAGCAAAGATTGTCTTGGCATTTAAAATTATGTTGGGAAGGAACCTTGGAGGTCCTCCAGCAAGATCCTCCACTCAGTGTATGATCTAGTGCAGGATGCATTTCCGGCCGGCAAAAGAGATGGCCCTGCAGGCTTAGCTGAAATGCCTTGTGGGAAGAAGTGCTCCTCGCTTCTTGAGCTGGCCTGTCCTGCAGACCAACAGCTGTACTCTTAGGAACTACCGTTAGGAAGTTGTGTGTCTCCTTCCCTGCGGTTTCCACTGTGATGCAACATTTTGAATTAACAGCTAAATAAGATGTGCCCTAGCCTTGCTATACTTCCTGGTGCCCCAGGCTGGTTGTTTGGGCCCCCGCCTAGTGGGAAGGGACTGAGGGCAAGCAGAGCTGGAGGCAATGCAAGGGAGGCGGGTGCTGGCTGAGCAGCTGCAGAAGCCATTGTGTGTATTGTTCAGATGCATTTCCAGTACTAAATTAAATGCATTGTTCAGATGTATTTCCAGTACATAAGGAAGTTCCAGGATTGATGTTGCCTTTCATAGGACTTTTTTGTTTGGGAAGGGGGTCAGATTCGCCCAGAGCTGATGGTGGTGCTGGTTGTAGCACGGGCTTTGTGGGGTTGCCTTTGAGCTTTGAGGACTGCTCAGAAGCTTCCATTGGCTCAAAATGTGGCTGGTGGGAGCCATAAGATCTGAACATGTTATATCAATTTCGCACCATGGTTTTTACCTTTTAAAGCCTTAAACAGGGTATTTAAATTACCGCCTTCGTATGATTCTCCTTCTCTGCTGAGATCAGCTACAGTCTTGCTTGCCCAGCAAAAAAAGACAAATTAGGTTGGCAGGCACAAGAGGTCTAACCTTCTTGGTGTTGTGGAGGTCCATTTACATGGGCCTATGCATTGCTTCTGTAGTGCAAATACTGAAAACCAATCTGTTCCAAACTGCCTTTTAAAACAGTGCTTTATGGCAGTGGTTCTTATGGCTTTGCAAATCCTTAAAATACTGTAGGCTTGGCTGCTTCAAATCTATTTTTTCTTGTTGCATACTGACTTGTGAGAATTGTGTACTTAAAAGTGGCTTATAAATATATGAAAATACCTGTAAATACAGTCTTGAAGGCTTAAGCAGGACTGGAAAAGGCCAGATTTCAGGCACCTATAATTTTAATAATGATAATGATAATAATACAGATATCCACAATTAGAAATACATTTTGTAGCCTTTTTCAGTTTGGTTGTCTCCCCTGACATTTTTTCCAACTCCCTCCTTAAGCGTTTTCCTTTCTTCCAAAGGAGACGTTTTATTTATAACTCATAGCAAGGATTGCCTGTGTGAGAGAACCAGCTGTTGGGCGGAAGAAGGAGCCAGAAGCCATCCTGTGTCAAGGTAAAACAGACCTACCATTTGCATTGATTTCTGCGCAGAAACGGTGGTGGCGTTGCTCGCTCCTCCCCTTTGCTGGTGCAGTAAAAACTCATGCCTGACTCAGGGTATAAAACACCCAAGAGTACTGAGGCAGCCCTACTCAGACCACAGCATGGCTCGCTGGGACATCGTGTGTCTTGCCTTCGCCTTCTGCCTGGGTGCAGCAGGAGCTGCAAAGGTAACTGTGGCTCTGACTGATGGCACAAAAGCAAAAACAAAGTCCGGTGCTGAATTTGGGAGAGCAGATGAGTTGAATGGCTTTGCTAACTCTTTGTAAGGCTCACAATCAGGGGCAGCATATAGGGCAGGCATGGCTGGGCCCCTGTGGATGGCCCGCACCCCAGCAGGTACCCACTGAAAAAGAGGGCTCTTCCTCTTCACCTTTGCAACCTGCTTGTTCACCTACCCCTCGCTCTGGCCACGACAACGTGGCAGGTGTGGCCCCGGCCCTCTGGCTGTCAGGCAAGTGGTAGAAAAGACGAGGGTGCAGAGCAGTGGCGCCTGGCGATCAGGACAGCAAGAAGGTTGACTGCTGAAAGGCAGCCCTTGATGGGTCCCTTGCCACGGCCTTCAAAAACCTGCAGCTGGGACTGATTATGTCCGAAGGTCCTTGCTTCTCCTTCCAGGAGACCAAAGGGAGTTGGTATTTAGGGAAAGAAAACAAGCCATACCCCATCCCTCTGCACATGGCAGGCCATGATGCAGGATGAGGTCAGACGGGAGTCAAATGTCCAAAGAGCACTTGGAAATTAACCTGGTCCTTCTCTAGCCCTTTGAGGAGAGCCCAAAGGACCAGTCAAAGATGGCGGTATTCGTACTTCAGCAGGCTAGTATATTTTTAATCTACATTTGGCAAGGCGTCATCTCATCTGAAACATCCAGTCAGAGTTTGTGTGTTGAGAAAAATCCTTGGATTTTTGTCTCTTGGCTCACAGGTTTAATATTTTTATCCAGGTGAGGGGGAGTGAATCATCTTTCTGCTGGAGCAAATGCCTGAGATCTGGAAAGGGGGTGGGGGCCGTGGGAGGCTGGGTTCATTGTTCACCCTCTCTCCTTCGTTGGTAAGCTCCAAGCAGCACGTTTGCCTGATTATGCCAGTGGCAAGTATCCGTTTTTGTATCCAATGGTGCTCCAGAATAAGAAACAGAAATGCGTAGCTTGCTGCACCTGCCAGTGCCAGACCTGGAACCCCAGAACCAGTGGGCCCCTGCTCCAAGCGATGGGCCCCAGCCGCCGCCACGGTCGCCAGGGGTTGGCACTGGCGGGAACCAGCGTTGTTTCCCGGGACGTTCAAAGGCTTTTGAACACGGGAGCAGCAAAGGACTGGAGAGGGGAAGAGACGCGGCCGAGGGCAGCCGTCTCACTGATGAAGGAGCAGCTGCACGTGGTCCTGCAAGCGGCCGTTTGCCCCACTGGCCCTAGAAAGAGGGGTCCAGTGGGCCACCGCCTTGCTCAGCCCCGCCACTGCCCCCTGCAGCCCAGCCTTGGGGACCACGGCTTCCCAGGGTGCTGGCAGGAGTTTTTCCGAGCCCACCTTGCCTGGAGATGCCGGGCACTGGACCTGTGCTGCACGTGAAGCAGGGACTCTGCAGCTGCACAGGAGCTTGGGTGGCCCAAGGGGGGTCTTCTGCAGAGGCACTGGCTGCCAGGCGTCAGGCAGCTGGAAAAGTGGGCAGGGCCTTTTTTGTGGTAGCCCCCTGACTGGGCTGTTTTCTCCAGTGAGATCGGCTTGGAATGGCATGTTAGGCTACCAAGCCAAGGCCTCTGTGCTTGTCCAGCCCTTTAACACGCACAAACTGCTGCTGACTTTTTGTGATGGGGCTGTGGGGGAGGGCAGCCTGATCAGTAGGTTTTAATCCCGCTTCTGGCTCCTTTCAACAATAGCCCAAAGGCAAAGGCAGCTCTGCTGAATGTCATAAAAATGCCAAAATCACTTTAATGGAATCCCTTTGATTAGGTGAACACCAAGATCATTAAAAATGCACAAGCTTTCAAGCTATCCAGGTCTCTCTATCAGCCAAAAGGTTGCAACAGACAGATTGGCAGGGCAAGTGGAGTCTTTCTCCTGTTCTCACCTTTCAGTGTAATGTTGTTCCCATTTATGTATTACTGTGAGCTGCCTTGAAAACCTCGTTGCAACTCTAAGGGGGCCACATTTCATCAGAAGAATAACATATTTTTCTTTCCTTTGTGGCGTGAATCTAGCTGGGCATTGTGAACACGGAAGGCGGCTTTGTGGAAGGTGTCAATAAGAAGCTGGGCCTTTTTGGGGACTATGTGGACATCTTCAAAGGAATCCCCTTTGCAGCACCTACAAAAACCCTGGAAGACCCTCAGCCACACCCTGGCTGGCCAGGTCAGGGAAGGGCAGCGGGTTGGCTCAACTAACGATGATAACGTGCAGCACCTTCCAGTCACTGAATGCACATCACAAATTTGTGTGCTGGGGAACCGGGCAACAACTTCCAGGTTCCCGGCTGTCAATTCCCACCTGTTGCAGTGGAGGAGAGAGACTGCTGCTTGCTGACAGAGCGGCTGCTTTCCCTCCTGGCCTCAGTTGCTGGCATCTGCAGCTGGGTGGGAAGGTCTTGTGGAGAATGACTTCCTGCCAGAGTAGACCAGGGTGCCAAGCCCTTCTTAAGCCCAAAAGACTATTTCTGTTTGGGAAAAGCACTTGGAGCCACATCCTGATGCTAGGCGCAGACCAAGCAAGCCAAGTGTGCCGGCATTCTTTCGTATTTAAGCTTTTCTTTCTAGTGACAAAGCTTAAAGAGAAGCGTTTCAGCTTTTTAAAATGGAGGGAAAGTGGCCGAAGCTGGGCGAACACCCCATGACTGGCAGCTGGGGGGAGGGATCATGCCGGGAAGGGGATGCGACCCCTTGCGGGACCCTGAGAGGTCTGGATTTGGCCAGAGAGGCATGTTGAAGTAATGGCCCCCAATTTATTCCTGCTCTGCTGCATTCCTCTCTCGGGGGAGGTGAACCAGAGCGTGGATTTCATGCATGCTAGTAAATTTTCCTAAACAAAATTTTCCCCACAAAATTTTGCTTCATTCCTCCTGATGTTCATGAACATGGGGAGGGGCAAAATGGAGCAGTGCGTTTCTGCCCCCCATCCGCACCTCCACCTCTGCCAGTGACTGGAAACAGTATTCTGCCACCTTTTTTTAATTTGCTGTTTTCCAGAGATTTTGCAGCACTTCGCACTTCGCACCCACGGGAACCCGAAACAAACGGCACTGAGCGCCTGTCCCTAGAAAGCAGAATCCACGTGGCAGTTCTGCACCATGTCCTGTGCTCTCTGCAGAATCGTTTTGCACACAGTGCCCAGGAAGGGGGGCAGCTGCATGGCAGAGCTCAGCCCCTGCATACGGGAAGTCCCGAGCTCACTGCCCACAGCCTCCAGGTTCCCCCCAAAACCGCAGAGCCGCTCCCAGTCCCCGACTCGTGAACCACATGGGTTGGTGGTTTCCTGTGGCTTCGTTGGAGCCGGGGCCAGACGAGGGCAGTGGGAAACTTGGAAGTGCCAGGAGCCGGGCAGCAGAACCTACGGAAAGGCCCTGGTCAGTCAGGGAGGCCAGGGACCCGGAAGATGCACCAGGGCGGAACAGGGATGTGGCCAGGGACGAGCTGAGGGCCTAGAAGAGGAAGTCACGCAGGTGTGCGTACCTTGAGGCAGGCCAGGCAAGGTGCAGGGGCTGAGATGAGCCAGGGAGCCGGTCAGGCGAAATGCAGGAGAACAGGCAGCAAGCAGGAGGACGTGCGCCATGCAGGAAAGCTTCCTGGGCAGGAGCTTGCCTTTGCATGGCTCCTCCCCAGGACTCCCACCTGCTGCTCATCAGGAGGCTGCGCGGTCCTGCAGGGCCTGGGCCAGTCCTGCGAAGGACTGGAGGCTGCCCTGGTTCGGGCCCCAGAGCTGCCCGGACCCCGGCAGTGTTGTGGGAAGGGCCGCAGCCTGGCAAGAGAGAACCTGCATGGCAGCATGTGGCCTTGCACTCAGTCCCTCGCAGGCAGGCTGGGAAGTCAGACGGGTGGCCTCTTCCGCCTTGGAGTATCTGGCCTCCCAGAGTAGCAGCCTGGGCAGTACAACATCGCTACTCAGCGGCTGGGTTCTGGTCAGATCTTTAGTATCCCTTGAGTGTGGGCAGTTGTTGAAACATGGGTTATTGTGTGCTCTGAACCCAGCCGTGCAAGCAAACCTGAAACGAACAAACCCCCCCGTTCACAGCCCAGTAACGAACAATGAATTCTCTTCAGGAATAATTCATGCTTAACAAAGCAGGGTTTCTTAGTTTGAGGGGCAGTGCGGTCTAGCGGTTAAGAGCGTGGGACTGGAACTTGGGCAGTCTGGGTTTGAGTCCCCACTCGGCCACGGAGCTCATGTGGTGACTTGGGGCCAGTCACAGACTCTCAGCCCAAGCTACCTCGCAGGGTTGTTGTGAGGATAAGATTGCGAGCGGGAGGAGGAGAATGATGTAAGCTGCTTTGAGTTCTTTCAAAAAGAAAAAAAGCGGGATATGGACGAGTTGAATGTGCATTATCTTGGTCTGAATCCAAATAGTGGATCCGTAAGGAAAGCGCAGACACATGCCCACCATTTCACTCCAGGCACCCTGCAGGCCAACGAGTACAAGAAGCGCTGCCTGCAGTCCACACTTACCCAGACAGATGTCCGTGGCAGTGAAGATTGTCTCTATCTGAACATCTGGGTCCCCCAAGGGAAAAAGGAAGGTAAGGCTGATTGCCGAGGCCCAATCCGGGCCTTGACAGACTTCCCCTCTGGGTTTTGCAGGAGGGTTGGCAGCCCTTGGGGCTTCTGCACCGGGTGCCACAACGGCTAGTGCAGCAGCTGGCGTGGCGTGGCATGTTCGGGTTCCACACCACGGTCGGGATTTCTGCCCATGGACTGCTCCCCATCCGTCTCGGGGACACGTTGGGTTGCCCTGGAGCATCTTTGGCAATGCATGTGGGGGGTGTCGTCCTTCGAAACGGTGGTGCCAGTGTGTCTCCTCTCTGTTGCACTGTCTGCCTGCCCCCACTCCCCTTTCTGCTTCAGTCTCCACCAACCTGCCAGTGATGGTCTGGATTTATGGGGGAGCCTTTCTCTGGGGGGGTGGACAAGGCCCCAACTTCCTGAAGAACTACCTCTACGACGGGGAGGAGATCGCCACCCGCGGAAACGTCATTGTGGTGACCTTGAACTACCGCCTCGGACCACTGGGCTTCCTCAGTACAGGAGATGCCAGCCTTCCCGGTGAGAGGCCTCTCTGGGTGTGTTTCTAGCCGCCTCCATGTCCCCCACCCACCCCGTCTCCCGTGTCCGTCTCAGCTCGCTCAGCGGGACGAATCGGAATGCTTTTAATTTCTGGCAACACAGTTAGCATTAAACAGCAAGTTCAGCTGCTGTAGACGTGCTTGTACAAATGCCAGCAGTCTCACGTTTGCAGTATCATGTTTGATATTGTTTAAGCTGCTTGCAAATGTTCTGGTCATGAATCATTCATTTTAAGAGGGCCAGGTGTTAAAAACCAGGTGCCTAATCAAGTCCAGCTGTTGGTGGACGACCTCGGCCGGTCAGGGATGCATCTCCCCCTCTCTCCTTCCCTCTCAAGGCAACTATGGCCTGAAAGACCAGCACATGGCCATTGCCTGGGTCAAGAGGAACATCAAGAACTTTGGCGGTGACCCCGACAACATCACCATCTTCGGGGAGTCAGCTGGAGCCACAAGCGTCTCCTTGCAGGTGTGGGGCTCTTGCGGGGTCCTGGGTTGAGTGGTGTGGTGTGGTGTCCTTGGGATGGAGTCACCTTTTTTCAGCAGGTGTGCCTGCTCTCCCTGTGCAACCAGGTAGGCCATCTGGGTCACCGAAAGGACCCAGAACGGGACAGCTTGGACGTGAGGCTGTCAAGCGAGTCCTGCAAGAAGCACATTCCTGTAAGAATCAATCTGTGCTGCTCGCCCCTTTTTGCACTGGAAACAGTTCTTTGAGAATGTCTAACAAGCTGCTGTTACGACACTTGTATAAGCAAATGGTGACTTTCTGCACTGTTCTTGTTTCACTGATAATTTTGGATCGGAGAGGATGTTTGATGCACTGGCTCTCTCTGCACTGCAGACACTGTCACCGTACAACAAAGGACTGATCAGACGGGCCATCAGTCAGAGTGGAGTCGGGCTCTGCACTTGGGCCATTCAGAAGAATCCTCTCTTCTGGGCCACCAAGGTAAAATGCCGTCCAGGCAGGTGGCTAAACATGGCAGGGCGTGTGGAGCGCTTTTCCGAAAGCTGAATGCTGCACCAGTAGCGGCGTCTGGGCTGCTGTGGCCGCCTGGGGTCTGCCCAGGCTTGAATTGGTCCTGGCCTTTCACTGCTCTCCCCCTTAGTAAAAATGAAGTTAGAAAATCACAACGCACTGAAGCCAGAAGGCAAGGGTGCAGAACGTCTTTCTCCCAGGGAGCCAGATTCCATTTTGGAGAAGTTCTCAGGCGAAAGGCAAGCCAGCGTATTTAACCTCAAAGCTCATATTGTCAGTAACCATCCCTTGCTGAGGCCTTTCAACTCCATAAAATGGGGGAAGCGCCACACAGAACCAGCAACAAGCGAATGATCTGTGATTGGGGGATGAGGAAGGAGGCAGAGGAAGGTTGGGGTCTGAGGTTCTGCCATCCTGCTTTGCCTCTCCATCTGTGTTGGCCTCAAGACTGACCACTGAGGCTCTGCTGACAAGCCCACCCCATCAAGGCCAGCTAGATGGGTGGGCCCAAGAGACAGGGACTTCTTCGTAGTGGCTCCTGTGGAACCCAAGGCTGCTGTAGAACTGTCTTGCAAGGGATGTCTGTTCAGGAAGTGAGCCTGTTTGCTTTTAGACGGGACTTCTGTTCTGCTTTTAAAGATGCCTGGCTGAATTTTAAACAGCTGCTTTAAACTGTGTTATATTTTTAAAATGTATTTTATCTGAAGCTGGACTGGACTAGGGTGCTATTCTGCCTTTTTGCTTTAAATCGTTTTTATGCTGCTGCGCGTGAGCTGCCATGAAGAGAGCACTTGCTTTGAAAAGCAGCATGAAACCGATTGAACAAATGACTCCAACGTGTGCCTTCCAGATAGCACAGCATGTGGGCTGCCCCACAGACAACACAACGGTCCTGGCAAACTGTTTGAAGGTCACCGACCCCAAAGCACTGACGCTTGCCTACCACCTGAACGTGCTTAACCTGCGCTGTAAGTTCGTCGGCCTCGGGGGCAAGGGCCACCACATACGCCCTCACTCTGAACAGAGCAGTATCCATAAGCGCCCCCAGAGCAGCAGCAGGCGGCTCAGTGCTTACTCTGAAGCCGCCCGGGAGAAGGATGTGTGTTCCTGTGCACAGCTCGGCATCGGGCTCCTTTAAGAGCGCGGCAGGGCAGGACTCGCCCTCCCCTGCCCCTTGGGGAGCACAGCCGCTGTTCCTGCATGATTTATAGATGGGCGTCTTGGCTGGAAAGAGAGGAAGTCCCTTCCGAGAGATCGGAGGTGGGCCCAGCATGTGGCCTCAGTGAGGGGAAGGGCTCCGCTGGCAGGCACTCCATCCGCTGAATTGCGCAGAGCGCCCCTTCCCACTCTCTCCACCACGGTCCCCTGGGTCAGTGCAGCACCCTCGGGGGCTGGGGGGGCCTGCCGTGGGGAGCGTGGCTGTGGCAGTACGCTGCCAACTGTGCTGTCGTTCCACCGTAAATCTGGATCCCGCCCATTGTGGGAAACCTTGTCTGAAGGCGGGCCAGTCCGCCGAGGCCCGTGAGCGCACCCGTGGCCGGTCCCAGTTTCGAACAGGTCCTTGGGCGGGAGCATCCCCCGTGCAGTGGCCATCGACTGGTCTGGCTCCTCTTTCTTCTGCAGAGGCCGTGCGGCGCCTCCCCTCTGCCTGCACCCTGCACCCTGAGCCAGAACGAGGGCCAGGAAGAAGCTCCTCTCAGCAGGGCCTGCTGGGTGAGGGCCTCCTGCAGATGCCCACCTTGCCCGCGGGCCCTCCAGCCCCTGGCCCCGTTCCCCCTCCTGTGCCTGCTGCGAGGATGAGGCGCGTCACCGCGTGCTGCATGCAGCCTCCCTCCCCGGGGAAGCCCTCCGGTCCCCAGGTGGCGCAGGCATGTTCTTTCCTTCCTGCAGACCCGCTTGTCCACTATCTCGCCTTCTCGCCCGTGGTGGATGGCGACTTCCTCCCGGATCACCCCGAGAAGCTCTTTGCCAACGCCGCTGACATCGACTACATCGCTGGCGTGAACAACATGGACGGGCACTTCTTCGCCGGCATCGACATGCCTGCCCTCAACCGCCCGCTAGTGAAGATCACGGCGTAAGGAGGGGAGCGGGCGGGGGCGGGCGGGGCGCGGGCGACGGCCCCGTGCGGGCGGGCTGGGCCTGCTCTAGTCCGAGGGCTGCATTCAGCTCGGGAAGCTCTTGAGAGCGGCACGTTCCGGTGCTGAGCAGTGAAAAGGGCAGGTCCGGCAGCCGGGGAGGCCAGCTCGTTCAGCATAAAGCTTTTCCCGGCAGAGCCACACAGAAGCCGGGAAAGGCCGAGCCATTGGAGGTGGTGGGTGTGGGGTGGTGGCCGGGGAAAGGGGGTGTGGCCCTCAGAGGAGCCCCAGGGGACTGGATGTGACCCCCACCCACACCTGAAGCCCCCCATCCCTCTGGTATTTCCATTTTTAAAAACTCCTTAGGAGAGGAATAGACCTGACACAGTTTGAACATGTGTGGCATCTTTTTGTTGTGCTCATTGTCCTTCTTATGAAAGGGTGGTGTTCAGGTTAATCCATCTGACTTCCCGTATCAGATACATAATCCTGAATCCAGCATTGATTAAACTGGCAGACAATGGGGACAGAGCATAGAAAGAGAACACCAAAGTGAATTTCAAAGCTGTGCTGGATATAAAAAGTCTGGGGAAACACAAAGGCATTGCTTGTGTATCCGACTGGTTGTCTATATAGCCGAGTGTTAGTGACTATCTGGATGTCTGTGGATACTCGCAACAGCACTCTCTGCCCATGTTCCCCAGCAACACCCTGCCTCTCACCCTGGGGAGAGCATGGAATCATCGCCAGCAGGATCCCCCCCACCCCCCCATACGTTGCCCAGCCCTTTTTTAAATGATGGTGAGCCATCATAACCTCTTGTGGGAGGGACTTCAGCCATTTAACTGCTGCGCAAAGAAGTCCCTGCTTTTAAGTGTCCTGAATCTTGCATGGAAAAACCTCACGGAATGGCCCTCAATTCCGAGTTTGGAGGAAAAGGTCCCCCCATCTGCTTCCTCCATACCATACAAAAGGGCTCCATCCGGAGCTGAAAATAGCGGCAGTGTTTGTGCCAAGTGAGCATCCGGGAAAAGATGGTGTCCCCCTGCCACAGCTGCCTTGGCAGGGTGCCACGGTGCCGAGACCCACCTGGAGGTTAGCTGAGAGCCACACGTGGCCCAACACACAGCTTGAGAAGCCCCCAGTCAGAGGCTCGGGCTACGATGTGGGAGATCCCAGGGGAGGTTCGGTGGGTGACGTCGGGCCAGCCACTCTACACCCAGTCCTACCTCGTAGGGTCGTTTTCAGCGGAGAGCCATAAACGCCCCCATCCGCTGCTTGGAAAAGGGGTGGGGTCAGGCTCCAGGAACGTCGATCCACGGGGCGCACGTGACGCAGCCCAAGCGGCACCGTGCAGAATGCCCACCTCCTCCCGCCGCTGCTCTTGTGTTCCAGGGAGGAAGTGCAGAATGTGGCGACGGGGCTGGCCGTGGAGAAGGGAGAGGCCGGGGCAAAGGCCGTCTTCTCCCTGTACAGCCAGGTGTGGAGCAGCACCGTGGACCAAGAAGTCATGAAGAGGACCGTCGTGGACATGGAGACGGACTACATCTTCCTGGCGCCCACCCAGCGGGCACTGCAGCTGCACAGCCAGCATGCCAAGTGAGGCTTCCGCAGCGGAGCGCCTGGTTCCGCGAGCAGGAGCAGAGCGGGGCCGGGCGTTCGCCTTCAGTGCTCCGGGCCGGTCAGGGTGGAGCTGGCTGCTTCCGGAGAGGTGGAAGTCGGGGCAGACCTGCCGGTGCTTGAGGGAGGCGGGCGGAGGAGCCGGGGGACCCTGCAGGTGCCTCCAGACCAGCAGCCCCACCTCCACACAGTTCGGCCCATGGGCTCCCTCAGCAGCCAAGCCACTGCCTCAAGGAAACCCACACGCTGGGCGTGGAGGCCATTTGGCTTGTTCAGGAACTTGGGGGTGCCCCACAGAAACTGGGAAATGTGGGGAGATACTGGTTCGTATACTGGTGGCAAGCAGTCCCAGAGCCCAAATCCTTGCATAACCGAAGCAGAACCATCCACACACGGGTTCGTGAGGGAGATGGAGGCCGAGCAGGAGCGGGGAGACACCAAACTACACAATCCCCATTTAAGGGATTTGGGGCAAAAAATACCCCCACGTGGCTAGAGCAGAGCACGTCGTACCAGCTGCTGGTTGGGGAGGAAGCAAGCGGAGGCTCGAATCGTGGGGGACCGGAGCATGTTGCGAGGCATCCTCTGCACAGCCGCCGTTTGTGGGAGGCCCGGCGGCTTCTGCAGGTCCCCGCTGCTCTGAGGCTTTCAGAATGACGCCCTCTTTTAATGACTCGCTGGCCACTGGAGTCAGGCACTGGGTGCATCCAGGCGGGACTTGTATCTTGCTAGTTCCCTGCTCAAAACATGAAGTTTTGCCAGACTGCTTCATCTTCCTGTTGCTTTTTGCCTCTTTTCTTACCAGAAAGAAGAGGAAAACAGACTAGGGAGGCGCACGGGGCCCCTTGGCTGGCAGTGGGAGGAGCCCGCCAGGAAGGGAGGGAGGCGTGGGGAGGTCGGCCTCGGCCACGTGCTCCAGGCACGATTCTCCTTCTTGACTGCAAGCTCCCTCTGCTTGCTATTCGCGTGGAAAAAGTGTGTTTTGCAAACAAGCAGCGCAGGCTTGGGAATACCGGGGCCTTGTCTGGAAAACACGTGTGGGGCCCGTTCTGGTCTTCAGCAAGGGAGCATTACATCCCTGGATGCCCCTTCCCTCTGGCGGAAAGACTCACGGGCCACCCCAGCCCTCCGTCCACCTGTGTGGCAGCTGCGGCTCCCTCCCCTTTCCACCTGGGCTGCTGAAGATGGGTAGACGGAAGCACTTCCGTGCGTGCGTGGGGGGGGGGGGGGGGGGGGGCACATCGTGAGGGCCTGCGGCTCTGCTCAGTCACTTACCTTCACCACACGCCTTTTGCTCCCCGGTCAGGACGGCAAAGACATACAGCTACCTGTTCTCCGAGCCGTCGCGGATGCCCGTCTACCCCAGCTGGGTCGGGGCAGACCACGCCGACGACCTGCAGTACGTCTTTGGGAAACCCTTTGCTACTCCACTGGGCTACAAGTCTCGGCACCGGACCGTGTCCAAGGCCATGATCGCCTACTGGACAAACTTCGCCAGGACAGGGTAAGCGGCTCCCGTTCCTCACCGCAGCCCTTGGCAGGCCGCAGACCTCCTGCTTAGGCCTCAGCTGATGGCTGCCGTGGGTGGGTTTCAGAGCGTTGTTCGATCTGAGCAGATGCCTTGGCTCGGCTGACCTAGGAAACTGGTCTGTGAGAAAGACTCTGTAGGAGATGGTGGCTGTGCCTGATTCGGAGCTCTGGCTTCCGCCGTCAGCTCAGGGCCTGGGTACACTGGGAAGCTGCACCTCCTGCTTCCCAGGAACAAACCCACCCGCCGGGGGCAGCTCTGACTCACGTCTTGGTCTGCAGGGAAACCAGCTCCAACTGACAGTTGGATGAGAACCATGAAAGGCAGGTGAAAACCTGTGCTGGGCCCATCCATTGGCCAAAGGAGCACTGGCTGCCACTGGCTAGCCAAGCCAGGACACCAGCAAGGGAAGGCCTTTGACGGCCCACCTGTGCTCGCCATCGTGTCCTGGCCTCGAAGGCCTGACCGCCCCCTTCCCTCGTCTCCTGTCCTTTGGCCTCTTGCAAGGGCAACTTGCAAGGCTGAAGGTGGGCCTCCCTGGCTCTTTATGTGAACTCTTCGAGAGATAGTAACTGAAAAGCCCAAGAAAAATGCAGCAAAGGATAATAAGAGAGGAGAAGGTCCCTCACTATGTTACGCACAGACAGACCTTTTCCTTTCCAGGCCTGGTTTCAAATGCTCCTAAGATTCCAGAATTCAGCAGTGGGGGATGGAGCAGAGGGCCTCTAAAACCACGTGATTTGCTTGTGCCCTGGAATGGCAGCTGTGCTTCCCACAAAGATTGCTTTGCGGAGCTTTCAGCACTGAGTACGGCAGCCCCAAACTGGACACATAGGATGAAGTTTCTGGGGCCCTCCAGATAATAATAAAGCGCGCCAGAGGGTCTAACATAAGGGAAGGTGGAGCCAGCATTCGATTCACTGCTCCACGCACCACTGTCTGTGGCACCCCTGAGCTGAGGGGCCTATTAAGCCCCCGCGAGTTCAAGGTGCGGCACCAGCCACTGGTAAAACCTCACTGGGACTAGTTTGTGAAGGGCATCATCAGGTACGAAGCTGAACTCGCTCTGACTCGTCCCTTTGCCCAGTTCTGGCCTGCAGGTCGCACGATGCCACGAAGCACAGCAGGTCGCAGATCACCTGCTACTGTGTGCGCTTCGTTCCTTGGACGGTGTGTTTTACTATTTTTCTCCTCTTGCAGTGACCCTAGCAAAGGGTTCTCAGACGTCCCCATTGCTTGGGTGCCCTACGACATTCAGGATGGTTACTACCTGGAGATCAATGACAAAATCAACATTCAGTCCGTGAAACAAGGGCTGCGGTCACCTTACGTGGATTTCTGGAACAAGGCCTACCGCAGCCTGCCAGATGTCCCTGTGACCCTGGACCTGTAGCAGCACCAGTGCGGGAACAACCGCCTCCATTTGTAGAAGAGCGGAAGGCAAGCTCTGAATAAATCGATCTTAACTCTTCCGTATGTCACATCTTTGGGTGCATGGTTTCCCTTCTGTGGCTTCAGGCACTTAGGTTTCCTTGCATTTTTGGTAAGTTTTATTTCATGTGGCATTCTGTTTGGCTCTCCTGAACGTCCTACCACTCAGTTTCATGGGAACATCCCCTGCGACCTGGTTTTATAAAACCAGAGGAGAAACGCTCTCTCCAACTTCTTAGCCTTCTTACCTCAGTTCTGCTTTTTGGGGAAAACATACTTTCCTTGGGAATGGCAAGGATGACCACTGATAGGATAATCCCACTCAAGCCCTGCCTGCCCCCGAGCAGAACTGCATATTTGACCCTTTCCGGCCTCTTTCCTGCCCAGCACGCGTTAGCCATCTGCGCTGATGCTTCCAAATTGGCTCGAGACGACAGCCACAAAATTTAGCAAGAAATATTTGATGTACCTTTTAGCTTTCTTATTTAAGCCAGATGGAAGGAAAGGTTATTGGCCATTTTGAAACTTTTGATGCCCCACTATTTTGTGAGAACCACTGGGAAGGGGAAAAGCCCATTGCGTCTCAGAAAGGAAAAGCTTTTCTCCTCCAAGAAGGCTGTCGTGCTTTTCAGCTACGTTTCTGTGGCCTGCTGCTCTGGGCATCAGATACACGACGTGTTCACTGCCAGTGGCCAAAATGCTACACCCAGCCTGGGTGGAGGGCGAGATACGCCAACTGTGCCATTGGAGGAAACTGAACTGCCAAGAAAATACAGGCAGTGATCGTACCTTAACAGTGGCCATTAAGAAAGCTTTGCTGGGGAATAGCACAGCCTTTAAAAAGGTATTTCTGGAAGGAAGGAAGGAGTTTCAGCTCCAAATCACTGAGGTGCAGTCCATCAAAAGAATCAACTTGGCTTCCTGTGGTTGGAATAATTATAAGGCCTTATTGGTGCTATTTTTAAATCACACACTTGGTATGCTAACTGTCTCCGCAGGAGCTTTTGTGATTATCAGGGCCTCTCCATTTCCAGTTTCCACTCCCTGGGGAAACAGAGTTTACATTGCTCTCCCTCCACCTCACCAGCCTAAACTCACAAACACTTGATGCATCTCATGAAGTATACAAACTATGATAGCTTCTGCCAGAAAAAAAGGCCAATCTTTAAGATGCCTGGCATGCCTTTCTTTTTTGGGGATGGGTGATTCCAATTCCCCTGATTTGTTTCCACTTTTCTTACTGGCTCTGTGCTAAGGGCATCAGCTTCTCCTACACATGTCCAGTTCAGTTCCAAAAGAGCCAGGGGCTTGGTTTGCATGGAAGCAGTGTGTCCACACTCATGTAAATTGGATGTTTCTAGTTCTGCACATAATTTTACCAGCCTTGGTCTTGGCCTCCCCCATGGTTGTCTTTCTAAACTAAAAAGCTGGAGTGGGATCCAGCTTGGGGTACTTTGCGCACAAAGTCCCGGGTGCAAACTTGGGTCCCTGGAGTGGAGGGCAGCTGAAGCCCAGAGCAGCACAGGTGGAGGTTGCTGGGTCCAAATTTCCATCTGCTCCAGCCAGCAAGGATGATGGGAGCTGAAGTCCAGGGAAGTAAGGAAGGCACCGAGTTCATTACTCATCCTCATGGGGAAAAGTGATGCAGACCCTTCCAAGGCGTCCACATCACATCTCTCCCAGCTCACAAATGCCCTTTCTGGAGAGGAGGGGGTGGGGGGAGGCAGAGCGCAGGCAGGGCACAGCTGAGCCTAACCTGGTCAAACAAACAACATGTCAAAACATTGGATTTTATTCAAAAGGCTAATTACACAGCCGTATGCCCATCACACGGAGTAGTGTGCTACTTCATGAAAATCGGTACAAAACCTACAGTCACCTTCGCGAATCACTCACTCACACGCACAAGGAGTCTGTGGAGACCCACCATGAGGCCACCCAAGGGGTGTGGGGGAATGGGGACTCTTCTCCTTTCATCTGTCACTGAAAGTTTCTCACCCAAGTGTGAACGCCGCAAGGAGGGTTAAGCAGAGGCGACTAAAGCCGCTTTCTCCAACATGCTGCCCCCTTCTGTGCCCTGGATTACAACGCCCACCATGCCCAGCCACTGATGATGCTTGGCTGGGGATGGCAGGATCTGCATTCCCACACATCTGGAAGGCACCAGGCTGAGGATGCCGGGGTACATGTAAAGCACAGCCTGCGTGGTCCCCAAGGCACAGCTGAGAAGCGCACAAGCGAGTCGGGCACTCGCCACGCGGACGGGGCAGCCTTCTGTGCAGCTGATCCACAGGCAGAAGCCCCGCGGGAGGCCGCTGTTGGCAACACAGGCCATGAGGGCCCCCTTCCTCCCAGCCAGGAAGCAAGCACGGCAGGAACTGGAGACGGAAAGCATCTGAGCACTTGGGGCACCAAAAGGAAAAAAAAACCAGATGACCAAGCAGCTGTTCTACCAAGGAGAGGAGCTGCGGCGTTATGCCTTGTTAGTGTTTGCAAGTGACTAAAAGGAGTCGGAAAGGCTGCACTGAGGGAAGTGACTGAAAAGTGAATGATGGGAGAGGGAAAACATTCCATCCCACCTCTGCCCTCAGGGAAACCAGAGATCCCATCATAGGCAGAGGGAGACCCTTGCGCTGTTCGGCCAAGCTGCTTCGGCAGGGGTGCTTGGTTTAAGCAGGATCCAGAGCAAAGTGTGCCTATCAAGGCCCCCAGGCAGGCGAGAGTCCCCCTTCCATGGGCCCCTGAGAGGAAGAGAACATTAATCTGGATAATGTGTTCTCTAGAAAAAGACCGCAAAGCAACACTGCAGAGTCTCAGACGCTGCACCTCTTTCATCCCCACATTTTAAACTTTCCCCAGGCTTCTGTCCTCAAGGTGCTTCAAAACCAGTTACTTTCCAGTTACGAGCTTCCAAAGTATCAACAACCTGTTCGACAGAAGGCCAGAAGTGTCAGGAATTTAGCTCGGTACCTTACAGGATAAGGCTCGGACAAGAACTGTTGCCTCCACCAGCCCTGCCAAACACAAAGCAGATCGAAAGGGCAACTGCATCTCGGGGACCAACAAACTGCCTTTTCTTAGTGTATCTTTCTCCACCCTGGACCATTTAGTGTTTTAAAAAATAATCCTCCTCCTCCAGATACACACATTTTAAACTCAGGGGAAAAAAATGGAAACCAATCATTCTAAACAAGGGGCTTTTGGCATCCCCTCCCTCCCTCCCTCACACACACACACACTCAAAGTTCTCTTGCAATTTAAAACAAAAGTGACTGCACTAATGGACCTCTAACAGTGTTAGTAAAATGTACAAATCCAACTGATCTATTTACAAGAAATAAATACTGGGTGGGGAGAAAAAATTAGTAAATTCCATTTCAATTCTGCCTTTTTTACAAAAATCTGATCACATCAGATCACAAGTCCACAGACCCTATTTCACTGTCAAAGTTTCCAGTCCATTAAAACATGAGTGGCACTTCCCAACAGGTTAAGGAAATTCAGAGGTTGGTGTGGGGGAAGTGGAGACCCTTCAGAGCAACCGCCGCTCAAGCTCTTCCGTCACTCACACCGAAGACTCTATTTACAAAAGCTCTGTACAGAAACTGGCTTCTTTTACTCCTGCTCCAGTTAGTCAGCAGAGGGGCTTTGTCTATGAAGAAATGTTGTTTGATCTTTGGTGCAGGCTCTTTAAAAAAGGAAAGAAAAGGGGAATTGGAAAGTTCTGACTCACTGGCGGTATCCAGCTACACCAAGTGACCGTGGCGTCTCCTGCAGATTTCTGTGGCAGGCAACGCAGCCGGCAACAAGGAGCAGACTGGCGGGCTGAGAAAGCAAGCTTTCCAGTTTGCTTCCCCTAATGGCAAAGTGCTTTTCAGGCAGTGAGAGTTTGCTTGGCCAGGAAAATCCTCAGAGCAGCAACTCCAGCGCAGGCAAAGCCCGTCCCTTCCCAAATTCCACATCCTCCCTCTTCCAGACCGCTGCTCTGCTGCACCCTGGCCGAGGTAAGCGTGGACGCCCTCTCTTTGCAGCACCACTCCAACAGTGTAGAGAAGACACCCTAAGGCAGAGAGGTGGGTGATTGCTCCAGGCAGCCAGGCCGGGTTTAGAAAGTGAAAAATCTTCCATGTAGAAAAAGACACACAGAGACCTGGTTGAAGGCAAGGGCCGGCTGTTGCTGCGAGAAACGCACAGCCAAGCAATGGTGTTGCTAAGGTATTTCCGCCCACAGTCTTGGTATGTGATTTGGAGCTCCTTCCCCCTGGAGTGTTACTTAAGTCAGAGCAGCAGCCAGAAGCACAACGGAGGCCCCCCATCTCCGGCTGAGCTGGCGAGGGCAAAGCCCCGGTCAGAAGATGCCTTTGGCGATCTTGAGGCCCTTCTGCTTCATCCGGGGCAGCGTCGAGCTGGAGCCGTGCTTGATCTTGACAGCCTTGGAGAAGCCCCGCTTCTTGAGGACGAAGTCGTAGTTGGCAGCAGAGTTCATGGCATAGAAGACGTTGGCATTGTCGGGGATTTTCAGCTCTGGGGTGGCAAGCGGGAACAGAAAGGGAACAAAGGAGGGTCAGGCCCAAGTGGCTGGTGGGCTGCGCCTTGGCCGCATTTCAAAAAAGCATCTGTTCAGGCCCCTGAATTAGGGTGGGGAGGAAGAAGGTGGCAGAGAGTGGCGGGTAGAGAGAGAGAGAAGGTGCTACACAGAACAAGAGGAAGGCGCAGCCGGAGAAACGAGGGGTGTTGAAAGAGAAAGAAAGGGTGGCAGACAGAGAGGGAGAGAAAAGGGGAATTCCAGGGAAAAAGAGAGAGGTGCTAGATGGAGAGAGAAGGGTGTCAAGAAGGAAAGCCGGACAGCAGAAAAGAGAGGAGAGGACTTGAGAAAAAGGGTGGTCATGCGGGGAGGGAGAAAAACCGCTGCGAGGAACGGAGGCCAGCGGCAAGGGAATACATGAAGCCCAGGAGGTGGGGAGATCCACATCTCCCCAGAGGCCATGGAGAAATCTGGGGAGCAGGCAAGTCTATGCGCTTCCAAGAGAAGAGCTGCTACTGCTAAACATCAAAAGACAACACTAAGTTTATGCTGTCTTTCCTTCCTTAAAGGATTCTTTCCCGGTGGGGTAAAAAAAGAAACGACACCAAGCTCGGGAGGGGTACATGTGGAAGGGCCTCCCCGTGGCTTGGCTCCAGGATGATCATCCCACTGCTGGAAGGATATGGCAGGGGCAATGGGGCCTCTGCCCCTATCTCCCCTGCCGCCTTCAGCCTGCCCCCCAGGTCTGTCCTGGAGGGCTGGGAGAGTCTGAAGAGCAGAGCGGGGCGGGGGGGGCGGTGTGCTGGGGACTGCAGGGGCAGGAGATGTCATGCTGCAGAAAGGACCCGGCTCCGAGCCAGTGAGCGAGGTGAGTCTCCGCTAGAAGCCCGCACTGCAAGAGGCCGGCGCCCCACCCTGTGAGAACGGGATCCGCGCAACAGGCCCCGGGACGCGCCAGCCCCTCCTACCTCTCTCTTCCGAGAGGATCTGAATGAGCTCGTAGTCCTCCGGCCGGTCACCGTCCAGATTGTGCTTGGCCATGGCCTTCCGGATCACGACCGGGGTTTTGTCCTGACTCGTCACCTGGAACACCGTGTCAGAAATGAGACGCGTGCTGGCCGGCACTCACTCCGACTGGCACGTGAGGTGCTCGTGCTCCTGGACAATTCGGTTTCCAGGAAGGAGCCACACAGTACCGAACGTCACAATTATTATTATTTTGACCTGCATTATCCCTTGAGCTGCACGCTTTTTATTTGATGCGCCTTGCAATATTTTGAGAAGACCTTGTGGAGCGTGCGGTAGACACACCTGTCCATTAAGGATCTAGCACAGCTTTTCCCCATCCTGTAGCTCTCCAGAAGTTTTGGACTGCAACTTCCAGGAATGCTACCACAGCACTGAATCGTCTAAAAATACGACCAGTCCAGTGCCTTCTACATGTTTCAGACCACTGTTTCCAGCATTTGTGACCCCTGACCATGCTGGAAGAGCATGGGGGGGGGGGCTGAAGTTCAAAGCACCTGGAGGGCAGCACTGTGGGGAAAGCTGTAGCAATGCATCCCAAACTGAACTGCAGCACACCGTTTCTTGTCGGGCACGACAACCACTGTACAGGTCAGGTCCAGGATCAGCCTTGTGCAAAAGGAAGCAAGGCTTTTGGGAATCCTCTACGTATCCCACAGAGCATCTTAGTGCGCAGGGCCTCCTGGCCCTGTGTAACATTTTCAGACAGCTGGAGGCAGGAGGGGTATTCCCTCAGTGCAGTCGCTTGGGAGAAAACCTGCACAAAACCACCAGGCAGCCGGCAGTCGGGAAAGCAGGGGTGGCCGCCCGGCGGGACTTGAATGTGGCCCACCAGCCTCGGGCTCTGCACTCCTGCCCTGGAGCAGGACTTCTGTCCGGGGAGTGCCTTTCCCACATGCACCGGACATGGGGTGGCTTCCTCGTTTCCTCCTGCTCCTTCCCCTCCCCTGCAAAGATGCGGGAGGGCAGAGAAGGACTCACCAGGATGCTCTTGTACATGTTGCCGTTGTCCACCGCCAGACTAACCCGGATGATGCAACAGTCATCCACCTGCTGGTTGTACAGGGGCAACGAGAGAGAGGAGTAACTGGAGATGCCGGAGACGGAGCGCTTGTGGGTGCGGGAGGCCGTCACCGGCGTGGAGGAGACGGAGGACGAGGAGGCGCTGCTGGAGCTCGACCCAATGCCCGACGTATCCAAGGAGGACAGCGAGTTGGACTCCCAGAACTGGAGAGGAAAGAGGGAAGTGCTTTTGTGTTGCTCTGCACCGTATCAGATCGGGAAGCAAGCTGGCGTTTCCTGTTCCCTCCCCGGTATTCTTTGTTTCCAAGGCAGGATTCTCCTTTGGCCAGGCCTTCCCGCAGCCAGTGGTACAGCGGAGCCCCTCAGCTGGCCGGAACACCATTTGGGGGCAGGAAGGCAAGGCCCAAACCGAAGGAAACCCCAGGAAACAGCATCACCAGACCCACGTAGGCAGGCGGGGAAGAAAAGACGAATGGCCCGGGCAGGTGGCGGGGAGCAACCTTTAGCCCAACGCTCTGCTCCCACCTTGAGTGGAGGCACTTGGCTGGGACCTGCCCCGTGCATTCCACCCCGCTGCCTGCAGCATAGGAGCCTCAAGCCGAAGGCCAGACTCCTGAGCCCGAGGGCCAGGCTCAGTCCCAGAGCAGCTCCTGGGGCTGCATCCCAGGATGGGCAGCCGAAGGCAAGGCGGGCTGCCGACAAGGCCAGCCTAGCTGAGCTCCGTGCTCTTCCTGCCTGACTGAACCAGCCAGGAGGCATTTCAGCCCTCTAGAATGAAGGGCGGGGCAGGACGCCATGAGCACAGAACAAAATCCGGGGACCCACCACGTGAGTGATGGTTATAGGGAACAGACAGGCCAGGGAAGGGGCTGCGACTGCCCGGGGAACCTCAGGGGGCCAGATATAGCCCAGTGGCTGGAGGTTCAACCCGTTAGCTTGGGTCTTCCAGCCGCCCCACCCCTTCCCACTCCAGCACACTCCAAAGCACCCCAAGTTGGAAGCCAGCCTCCCCCCGACGCAGACCGCACCTGCCGCCTGCCCCGTTGGGTGCGAGCGGGACCCAGCGAGCTGTCGCTGTGCTGTACCTTCTTCTCTTGGCCCTCGGGGGAGTCGGGGATGAAGCTGATGTTGATCTCCTCCACATCGGAGCTGCTGGAGCCTGCCGAGGTGACGCTGACAGAGTCGGCTGCATCCCCACTGCACAGGTAGGGCCCGCACTTCAGCTGGTCGAAGGACTTTGAGTGGGAGCTGCCACTGGCGCAGGACTCGGTGCTGGGAGCCTGCCGGCTGCGGGGGCGCAGAGCAAGGGGGGTGAGGGGAAGGCAGTCTCGTGAGGACGCCAGCAAAACCACCAGGCCGGCTCATGAACCCGCCCCGAAGGCAGGCCCGGGGGCTCTCGGCCCAGCCATGTGAACTGGGGAGAGGCTCAGATACTGCGTGAAGAATTATGGCTCCCTCCAAGAAAAGAGTTTGGGTTAACCTTTCAAAAATTGATTTTTTCAAACTCACAATGAACAGTTGAGAACCCCATAAATAAACTAATCTCTTGGCACTTTTTCTCATCACTCAGAATCTCTGTTTGGCACAATCAAGACAGTCCAGTCAAGTTTCCGCTCATTGTCCTAATTAATCAATCAATCACATCACAGATTTGTGTGAGTCTTAGGAGATTGCTGTGTATTCTCAAGATGAGCAAATTCAGTAAATTCCTTAAAAAGTGTCAATTCCTTCTTGGGATTTTTTAATATCTGAAGATGCTGAGTGAATTTCTCCATTAATGCAAAGTCCCCAAATTTCTGTTTCTACTTAAGAGATTGTTCGTTTGATTTCAAGTTTGAGTTAGCTTGAAAGGCTGCCCAACCTCCACTTCCCAGAGTTCAGGACTTACTCGCTCCAGCGCTTAATGATGCCCGTGTTCTTCTTTGCCTTCAGAGTGTTACTAGCTGATTCTGAAAGGGGTTCGATCTCACACGAAAGGCTGTAGCTGGAAATGAGAAAGGCTGAGTGACCATCTGCTCTGCCGATCTCCTCCACATGGGGTGCTGCCTTAGGCCAAGGGCCAGTGCAGGTGCAAAGGAACTTTGGGAACAAGATACCAGTGGAGGGTGAGACCAAAGGCAAAAGCTTGAGGCCAAAAAGACGAATCCCCAAGCCTTTGTGGTGAGGGCTAAATTATCAGAAGGGCCGCCTGCCCTTGTACTAGCCTTGCCCAGCTTCAGACCAGCGTTATCATTTCTGGCTTACCAGCTAAAGCCATCCGGGCTTTCTCAGTGGTGGCCCCACGCTTTTGGTACTCCCTCCCTGGGAGAGCCACGTGGCTTCACCACAACCTTAAAAAATAATCCCCACACCTGAAAATATGTTACTCCACTGGAAAACCATCAGCTGTACTACACCTTGCACTGGGCTGTGATTTCAATGGCTCAAGGTATTGCAATATTCTAGGTCGCCCTGCAAGGGCCACGCCCCACCTGAGAGGTGGGGTTATAACATCGTTTCAATACGTAGCGCAAGCGCACAGCCGCAGGGCCAAATGCGCTGGTCAGGCCCAGAGGAGAGGTGGTGCAGACCCAAAGGCAGTCCGGGAGGAAGTGGCGGAGCCCGGCCCGGCCCGGCCCAGAGGGGGCAGCTCACCTCTCCGCCTCGCTGAGCCGCTCCATGCTGTGGAACCAGGCGACGAAGCGGTCCTCCTGCGTGAAGCTGTAGTTGTTGCAGGCCGACTGGAGCAGCTTGATCTGGGCGATGACTTCGAATTCCTGCCGGGAGGGGAGACGGTTCGCCATTCGAACAACGTGCTGACCTGTTCATGCGCGCGCAGTGGAATGTGGGACAGGGTGGCCGGATGGGGGAGGCGGGGAGGGCATGAATGAGAGCACGAGAACTGCCCTGCTGGGTCTGAGCCGGGCCACTGCGTCTGTCGTCGGCTTACGCAGTGGCCGGCCAGCTGCCCAGAGGGCAGGCCACAAGCCCTTCCAGCCTTCCCTGAGCTCGCCTGCTCCTTCCCACCCACTTTTCCCCTGCACGTTTTGTGGCATTTTTGCAAACCAGATCGACACTGGATCACGCGCACTGATGCCGGCAGACTGCCCTGCCTCCCCTTCCTAGGCAGGCCCGCCCCCGGCCCTAAAAAGAGACGTCGGGGCCCTCGCTGTGCTTGGGGGATGGGAGGGCCATCCAAAATCAGGCAGAGGGCCTTTCCACACTTGGGGTTCTCCCTCTCACGGGATGCCGTTCCGGATTCCAGCCCTGTCCTTCTGCAGTTAAGCACACACGCTGCCAGCCTCCCTCCCATGCAGAGTTCGTCCCGTTTCTGGCTGCTGGGGAGACGAGCCCCGTTTTGCCATCAGTATGCGGATGCATGCGTGCTGGGCCTGGGCCTCACCGGGACAGGCGTCCACACACACTCCAGCTGGCTTTCTCCACCCCTTTCTGCTCTGAAGCCTGAAACCTGAAATGGTTTCAGAGTTCCCACCCCAGGCATGTTTAGGCAGAAGGAAGCCATGCAAGCCCTTGCACTCTCCATCCAGCGTGGCCGGCCGGGAACTGCAGGACCGCGTGGCTCAGATTCGGTGTTTCCTGGTCTAAACGTGCCTGAGATTGCACCTCTAATTTACTGCCCCACTTTGCTGATGACGTCATTTGTGGAAATGGTTTGACCCTCTGCCTTAAATGTTGCTGTTCAGAGTTCCGTTCGGTCTGGTTTTTGTAAATTGGCAAAGCAAGAATCACTGCAACGGATCTCACCTTCCTCCTTTTCTCAAAGTTGATCAGGCCTCCCTGGACAAGGGGGGAAAAAAAGGCAGAGGATTAAAGTTCGAAAGCTTTCCAGAGACCAAAAAGCATCCAAGGTGTGTGAAACCCTTAACGATACCTGGAGAAACTTCTTTCAGCTGAAGTAGGAAAGGGGGCAGGCAGAAAAAACGGCCTACAATTCCCAGCATGTCCCATGTTTCCTGCTGACCAATTTTTTAACAACCTGCATGTAACTGCGCACTGAAAGACTGAGTGGGCAAACTGTGGCTCTTTGGACGAGTGCCAGCGTCAGCTGTTGTTGCAGACACAATCTCTGTATAGCAGTATTTGGTTAAGAGCTTGTGCAAAGTGGAAGGGAGGTACCGACAGGGCAGTGAGCACCCATCTTTCCATCTGCCTCTGGTTGCCAGGGGTTTTGTTTTAAAAATATTTATAATGCCTTGAACACTCTGTCTCTGTGTTTCTCTTCTGCATTACTGAAGCCAATGAGTAAGAATAAATGCAGTCTGCCCACCGGTTAGCCTGTGCTTAACAACAGCTCGGCATTTTTAATGCTTTAATCATTTAATCTTTTCATTGTCATAGTTATTGTTGTTTTGGATTATTATTTCTTATTGTAAACCACCCCTTTGGCATTACCAGTTGCATGATATATACATTGAATAAACAAACAAGCAGACAAACACAATTACATAAGATCATTAAATAGCTGAGAAAGCGAGTTAGAAGTTATAATTGTAAGAGCTGTAATGTAGACAACAATATTCTCAAGGGCGGGAATCAGTCTTGACTTTGCTTACCGGAAGTGGTATGTATGTTGATAGGACCATTTCGTGTGTGTGTGTGTGTGTGTGTGTGTGTGTGTGTGTGTGTGTGTGTGTAAGGGCAGGGGGAGATGTGTGTATAAATACATACACATCAGAACAATATCCCATGATCTATACACAGGTCATGAGATCTTTATTACAAATTTCAGTGAAACAAAACAAAGCAAAGGCATAAAAAGACAAAAAGCTACTACAGGAATCTGAATGCCTCAGTTCCATTTGTGAGCATCCCAGTGGGGCTTCCCTCGCTCCACTGCATCCTCACAGCGACAACCCTGCGAGGCTGAGAGGCTGAGACGGGCCCACGTCACCCAGGGCCTAAGGGTCAGGGCGCTGCAGGAGGGTGGGATCCCATCACGGTGCGCCCACCGCCTCTCACGTGCATCCCTTCTGCTTGCATGCTTGAGGGGGAGCCATGTTCCTGTTGTGCCACGCTTTGTATTTTTAAGATTTTTAATTCTGTAAACTGCCCACAGAGCTTTGGCTATGGGGAAGCACAGAAGCGCAATCAACGGAATGAAATGCAACAGATTTTTAAAACATAAATGGTACTACAGAGTCGGAGGTCAGACTAGATGGCCCGGGAGACCCCTTCTGACTCGCTCTGTTTCTATGTTTCTATATGAGAGAGAGAGAGAGAGAGAGAGCGAGCGAGCGAGCGAGCGAGCGAGCGAGCGAGCGCGAGCACACATATACACAGATATATGAGGTGTGTCCAGAAAGTAATGAGAATGAAGTCCCTACGTTCGAGAGGGGCTCTGGGAAGGGAGAAGCTGGCCAAGGGCACTTGGGGCGGGGTGCCAGGTGCATGTCAGAACGCCGATCAGCTGCATTCCAGCCCTGTCAGAGTCGAGGCATTATCTTTTGTGGCACCCCTGTGCAAGTGCCTCGCATTAAGAATAATGCAAGAGAGTTTGGAACAGCGGTGCCTGATAAAATTGCGTGAAATTGGGTGAAAGTGCATCAGAAACTTGGGAAACGGGGAGGAAAGCTTATGGAGAAGCTGCGCTATCATCTGCCCAAGTGTACCGATGGCGCAAGTTGAGATCGGCTCAGCTTGGATCCTTCATCGCCACGACGCACCGAGTCACAGTGCTTTGGCCGTCGGAGAGCTTTTGGCTGGAAACACATCACGGGGCGTCCCCATCCACCATACAGCTCCGACTTGGCTCCTTGTGGCTTTTTCATGCTCCCAAAGGTGAAGAATGGCTTGAAAGGACGCCATTTTGGCCGTGTGGATAACGTCCAAAGAGCCACTATGCAGGCTCAGAACGCCATCCCACCGGAAGACTTCCAGGGATGCTAAGAATGGAACAATTGCTGGGAGCGTTGTGTGCACTCACAAGGTGCACACTTTGAAGGAGGCAACGATCAATGGTAAAATTGTTCAATAAAAGAGTTTTTAAAATGTCATTCACATTACTTTCTGGACACACCAGGTACAATCATCATATATAATGATCTTATATAATGCGGAGTCCCCTGAGGTGCCCCAGTGCGGGAAATGCCTGGAGGATCCACCGGGAGGCAGGCTGCTGTCACAGACGGATCTGCTCTTTTATGACTCTCTAAGGAAGACAGAGAAGGTTCCAGGATGGAAATGCTTTTTGGTGGCACAGCATTTGTTTGAGGGCGATGCAGAACTGCCTCCCACGAGCACCAAAGACCAGGTGGAGAGGAGCCCAAGGAAAGGAGGCGGCCAAGGAAAGATGGACGAGTGGGCCGAGAGGCAGGCTGGCAGGGAGGGGAGCGGTACTTACCTCCAGGCAGTCCTTCATGGCTGTGTCCAGCATCACTAAGTCCGTGAGGAAGGTGCCCAGGTACGGGATGGTTCCTTGCATCACACCCTGGGACAGAGAAGCAGGTCCTTGACAGCGCCCCCACAGCCCGGGGGCCCTCCGTGGCTGCCTGGGGAGGCGGCAGGGGCACGGCAAGGCCCTGGCGGTGCAGGCAGGGGGTCCCCAGCTCGACCCCAGCACCATCTCCAGGAAGGGTGGGGAAAGCTCCTTTCCAAATCCCCGGAGCGCTGCTGCTGCCTGCCTGGGCGGGGGGGGGGGGGGACCAAGGGCCGGACTCCACACAAAGCAGGTCAGTGGGCACACAGGCTGCCTCACGGCACTCACCATCTCTCGCTGCTGCTGCTGCCTCTTCTGGGCTCTCTTTGGGTTTATCTCTAGCGTGGCGAACTTGGAGGTCCCCTCCTGAATGGGCAGGAAAGAGAGACACACACAGAAGAAGAGTTGGTGGTGAACCTGCACATGCCGCTTTAAGCGAGGCAACTGCAGACTCGGTTCCGACAGCAAATCGGGGGTCGCTAACTGGGGCTTCCCGTTCGCGCCAGAACCATCGGCTCCCAAAACGGGAAGCCGAGCGATGGTCCGCTCGGCGTGGAAAGGCGGGAACGAAGCCCAAGGCGGAGAGAAACCGTGCGTCTTGTGTCCCACGTAGGAGGCCTCCCCAGATAAGCCGCTCTTGACGTGGCAATTTCGGGGAGGCAAGAGAGGTCATCATGGTTTAGCGTTCTGCCAAGGATGCCCGGTACGCACTTCCTGGAAGCCGGCACTTCCCCCATCAGGCCCCCAAGTCCTCCTGCCCAGTCAGGGTGCTTCTCTGTGCTGTGCTACCGGCTGGGTGTGCACAATTGTGGGGCGGGGGGAGCCACGAAGGCTTCCACCCCCTTCCAGCAGCTGCCCAAATGCCCCATGCTGCTGGCTTCCCACGTCCTCCACGCTCGGGGAGGTGTCCATGGGTGGTCTGCATGCCACCCTCGCCACGCACCTCGCCGGGCTGAGGCGACAGGAGACTGCGTGTCACGAAGGGGACGGCCCCTCCCCGCCCATGAGGACCCGGCCACTGAGGGCCTCTCCACTGGGTGCCAACAGTGTTCCAGAGTCCCAGCCCTACTTGGAGAAGTGGGGACCTGATCCTGCAACACTCGGAGCTCTGGAAGCCCAGACCGTATGCCCCTCTCCCCGGACCCCCAGCCCCAGCGATCTCCCAGGGTGGTGGCTCCCCCCACCCCAGCAGGTTGCTAGGTTTCCCTCCGGGCTTCATGACCGTCTGGAGAAGCTTAAGGCTGCAACAGGCCGGCTGCTGGCCCTGCCCCATGGCCTCTGCCTCCACTCACCCAAGGAATGCGGCCTTTAAAACCAGCTCCGGCCCGCGGGCTGGAAGAGGTCCGGCATCCCAGCACCTGTTAGCAAAGCACTTCGCCCGCTACCCCAGAAAACCAAAGCAAAATCTGCAAAGCAGACGCGAAGGTGCAGGCGCTCACAGCTTGGGCCAGCAGTACGACGTCAGAACAAGCCCTCCGAGTAGTGGCTCCCGTTCTCGGCTCGTGCCGCGGAAGCTCTGCCCCGAGGCTCCCTGGCATCTCGCAGAGCCCAAGAGCAAGCGCCAGAGGGAGGGCGCTATCCCCACGCCGCACCGCAAGCGCCCGGTTTTGGCGACCGAAGCCAGTGCTCGCATTACCGAGTTAAAAGGGCCACCGGCGGGAGAGGCGCTGCGCCAAATGCGAGGGTGCTGAACGCTCCCAGTGACGGCGCAGGGGCTGAACTGGGAGACAGACGCGGCTGGGACCAGCCCTTCCCAAGCTGCCGCAGCCTCTGAAGGGGGGGAGAGAGAGATAACAGGAGGGAATCCCTGTGCTGACACACCAGGGCTCTGGCAGGCGCGGCCTCCCCCTCCTCGGCTTATCTCTCACCCTCACAGGGGATCCTCGGCTGCCAGGCCTGGGAGCCTCCCAAGTGCCGGAGCCGAGCAGGCAACGGCCGTCAGCGCTCGGCTTTGGCTGGGGAGCCTTAGACAGGGTGTGGTGGCGGCGACGGCGGCAGCGAGGGACTGCTGTGCCTCTCCTCCTCAGACAGGCCCCCGCAGCACCCTGGACCCCTGACCCTTGGGGCCAAACTGGCTGGAGCTGCTGGGAGTTGAAGTCTGTGCCACCCAGAGGGGCCTGCATGGGGGGGGGGGGGCTGCTTAGGAAACTGGCAAGAGAAGAGAGACTCCTGTGCCTTTAAACAGCAGCTGGACAGGCAGCAGTTCAACAGGGCAGCTACCAGGGCTGGGGAATGGCCATCTTATATGGTGCTCTGTGTTACAGAAGGGCTGCGGACCTGCGGCAAAGAGCCACCTGCTGCTCCCAGACCACCACACCCGTTTCCCCTTTCCCTCCATCCCGACTGTCTGGGGATTTCCTGATGCTTGTGCAGTGTCACTCCATTCTCCTAAGCTTCAGTGACGGACAGCAAGAGCTTTGGCAAAACAGCGCCAGCCGTTCCAGCATTTTAGCCCTGCAAGGAGCTTTCTGGCGAGAACGCCTAAGAGACACCCGCCACGCTGCAACACTTCGTTGCTGTTCCCCCATGCTGTATTAATAATTAACTGTTTGTTGCAACTATAAAAAATGGGCTGGGCAGAAGGGAAATCTGGTCTGACTGGTACCTTTAGAGCAGATCAGCACGGATCTCCAACCCCTAAGTGGGGAATATTTTTATCACCCGCTTGAAAAGAAAAGGGAACTGCAGGATTCTCATCCGTGGACACGTGGCCATCTCTGAGCTCCGTGCGGCTGGTTGCCAAGGGGCGTTCAAGTGCAAGCAAACAGAAGAGTCCAGCCGCACGTTACGGTGATGTGAGTCATGCTTTAAAAAAACGTGCTGAACATCACAGCTTTTATTTTGAAGGGAAAACAGTCACGATGGTCCCAGGTGGGCCAAAGCCCAGGGGTCAGCCCTGCTTTGCCTACGGGAAGCACCAGGTGCCGCCCCTGGCATGTTTCCGGGGTGGTCTGGGAGCCACACCTGCCTGGAATGACAGGGAGCGGCTGCCAAGCGATCAAGCAACATGCAGCCCGTAGGACCGATGGATTAGCTCGGTATAGAAGCCAAGAGATCAACCGGGATGAACGTGCGGGCGAAAACAGATCCTCAAGAAGTCACTTTATCTCACGAACTGCAAACACAGACCCAGAGATAATGGAACAGGATGCAAAGGGATTGGGCAAAACTGTCGCTCAGCAACACTTTGGGCCTTCTCCAATGGAGTCCACGATTCCATCCACGTGGGGTGGAAAAAGTGGCCAGGCAGAGGGTTTTCTCCCTTTTTTATCACCCCAAAACTCAAAGAGGTTATTCCATGAAGTTGCATTCATGACAGAGAAAAGGGAGGGACTTTTTGGTCAGAAAACTGACACAGTTCTGGAACGCCGATGAGCATGGCTCCTTTTCCCTCCGAAGAAAAGTGACTAATTTACGCCTGCATTTCAAAAAGCGTGACTGATGTAACTTGTTTGGACGATAGCCTCCAATTCTCAAAGGGAATGCAGTCCTCCTCCTCCTCTCCTGGTGTTCCCTTCTAACTGGTACTGAAAATGAATCACAGAATCACAGAAGGGCAGAGCTGGAAGGGGCCCGAAGCTCACAGGGTCCACCCCCTGCTCTTGCAGGACTCCATCCTGCTCGCTGTTGACCCCTCAGGGGGAAATTACGGTAGAACAGAACGCAGGCAGAGATCCCCAAAGCAAGTGCTTTTAAAGCTTCATCTTCCATAAAACTGATGGGTCAATGAACCTGTTTATTTTCATAAGCCAGTTTTGCTCTGGTGAGTCACTGCAAGAGAGAAACCTTCCACCTTGTATGGTTACAGATTTGATGAAGAAAATGCCAGCAGTGGGCTGTGAAACTTTGTCTAAGAATAGAGTGATCTGTGTATTAGTTGCTAAAATGCTCACACACTTAAGAAACTGGTCCTTCCTTTTGGATTCTCCAAGTTATGCTAAACCCAGAGCTGGAGAATGAACAGAAAAGAGACCCAACTCACGGAAACACCTCTAAAGGTGGAAGCAGACGGAGGGGAGTGAGAATGCGGGAGTCTGGCTTCGCTTGATAACAGACACACAGTCCAGCCAACTGCACAAGTGCCGCCCGCACGCAGCAAGCTATTACTGAAAGAGCGCATCTGCGGCGAGGCTCAGTCCTGCTTCCACATCGCCCTGGCACTCAACCAGCGTTGCGCCTTCACCCGAGGTGCTTGACCGTTCTCATGAACCAGCTGCCCTGCCCGAGCATCTCCTAGATTTCTGTAGCAGCACAGGTGGGTTTCGAGGCATCACATGAACAAAGGGATCAAGCCGACGTGGGATGCAGGCGTCTTACCTTAATAAGGAGCTCTCGACTCAATGAATGATTATTCTCGTCTGAGAAGATTTCTGACAGCTCATGGAAAGTACGGAAGCTCTCCCTGTGGAAGGAAGAACAAGGGCCGTCCATTAAAAAAAGCACAACTGCCTTGCTAATGTTTTTCACACTAAAACGTGGAATGCATTCCATTCAGCCTAGTCTTCTTTTCTGATCCATTTTTTAAAAATATATTTATTTACTAAACACACATTCCACTCTTCCACAAAGCTCCTGGTGGTCTAAAACCAAACCCACAAAAGAGAAATAACTCTCAATCAAAAGGAAGCTAAGGAATAAGACAGAAGTTAAGAACAACAGAGCATAAAGAACTCATTTCCCACTACTTTTCATCCCTTACAATGGTATCGAATGTTTGCTTAACATACAGAAATGCATCAACACAGCACCTCGCAAGAAGGACATCTGCCGCATTCCAGCACTGAAGGGCACTGAACTATGACACCACGCCGGCTCTCTTTTTACCAAACTTTTCAGGGGTTCCCCAATTTGAAGAGGCCCGGTGGCTGGGGAACTGACCTGAAATAGACAGCCTGCCTGGGACAGAGGAGTATTTGAACAGGAAGCTTTTGTGTTAACACACAAGGTGACACACACTTTCAGTTCTCCCAAACTCACCGTGAAACTTCATCCCATGTCTTCTTCAGCCTGTGAATGGCATTGCACTGCAGAGCTGAGAGAATGGCTCGGAGGGAAGAGAAATTCTTTAATATCCGGCATTCCTGGAGGAATGTAAGAGAGGAGAAGGAGTCAGCGGCAGCAGCGGCTAAGAGCGGGAGAGGGTCACAAGCACAAGCAAAGCTAAATTCCTTCGGCAGAATTCCATTTCCTGGACTCTCTGCCCCGCGTTGTCACTGGCACTGTTTGCATCCTGCCACCATGCATGTGTGAGCTGCATGCAGGCAATCCTGATGCTGAACAAATTAAACCTTAGAAGTGTTTCCTTGCTTTGTGTACGTGTTTCTGATTGTGTTGTTGAAGGGCTGGAAGAGCACGCGATCGGCTGCTACGGAGTGCCATGAAGCAGCAGCCAAGAGCGGTGCTGGAGGACAACGGGGCCTGATTCGTGCAACAGCTGCAATTCCTCCTTCGTCTTCCTCTAGCTTGTAGGGCTCGGTCTACATACGGAAGAGAAAGGAATGGCCGAGAGGGCCCTGCCTCGCTTTGCACTCCACGGAGAGGCCTGCATTTTTTGTAATTCTCCCCACATGTAAACTGCTCCTGCATGTGAAGAGCCAGCACATCAGGAAAAGAGTCTCTCATCTGTGTCATGAAAACGCATAAACAAAAAACCCCGCCATCTCTTAGCTCCAAAGCCTTACTGCTGCTAAGCCAGCCCGAGGAGAGGCCTCCCGAGGGGCTGTGGGGATGGCCCAGAGCGGGGAGCTGCAGCCAGGGGCCTCAGGCAGGATGGATTTGGCTGTAGGTCTGAGGCTGAAACCTAGCAATCCCCTGCCTCGTGTTTTCAAGTTTTCAATTGCACCCTGCAGGACAAGAAACGCTTTCTTGCTGCTTTGCAAAGGTGCCACCGACTGAAACTGGCCGCAACTTTCCCGCCCCAGCTCTGCCACCTCCAGTCACCCTCCTCACGGAGGGGTCCGCTCAGGAAGGAAAGGGACGGCTCACCCACCCGAGCTACTTCGATCCAGCGCTCCACCACCTTGGCTCTCTGCTGCGGCTTCAGTGCCCGGTCCCCGAGGCAGGTGGCGATGACACAGTTGGTGACGCTGTTGAACTGGGAGACGGTGGCCCGGATGGTGGGCGCCAGGTGTTCTTTGCCTTTCTTGTCCCGCTGGGACCAGATGCACCCCAGGCAGTGATAAGGCACCACCTTCTTGAAGAGCTCCTGGGATGGGGAGACGCCGGAACAAGGATCAGCACCGGGGCAGCGGGCCACGAGAGGGGTGGGGCCCGGGGAGCGGCGCAGGCTGCGCGCAGGGAGAGACCGCGAGGCACTCACAGCGTCCATCAGCGTGAACTGCTCGGCGGCCATCTCTGGGGAAAAGGCAAGGAAGTCCAGCTTGCCCTCCCCTAGTCCGTTCTCCTCGTGCAGGCGCAGGGGGCAGCCGGCGTGCTCCACACCTGGGAGGGAGCAGGTCAAGGCAACCTAAGCAACAGCAGTGCCCGGAGAACCGCCCACCTCCTGATTTAAGAAGATCTGGGACCCAGGCCTAGAAGAAACCCATTTGCGGAACTCCACAGGGGGCAAAGCCAGCCAACTCATTCCTCATCCAAACCATCTCAAGCAAGAGGGATCTTACTTCCCTCCCCAGCTCCCAGCCATCCCCAGAGTTTTTCTTCTACCCTGTGAGGCAGATTAGAGAGAGAGTCAGAGCCTGGCCTAAAGTCACCCAGAGACTCCTGAATCCCAACCTAGCACTCTCACCACTAGGCCACACTGGCTCTTTTGCGTTTTAATGTTTTAAAAGCTGTTATTCCCATTGGTTAAAAGGATGCACAGGGCCAGCGTGCCTCTAGGCAGGCAGTGTCTGGGGAAAAGCCACACCAGAACGGAACTGGGCCAAGGGCTGCCGCACAAGGGGGTCTCCTGGGTCACACAGCCAGCAGCTGGTGGGGCCCGGGATCGCGGCTCTGCCGGGGCACCGCTCACCTTCCGTCTCCGGCCCGGCACGCTCCCGGTGCTGGAACTGCGTGAAGAGGATCCGTGCTCGCCGCTCCAGGTCCGACCTGGGAATGTTCAGGCGCACGTAGCTGATGAGTTGCTTTAGGCAGGCGAACTCCGGCGGCTTGCGGAAATCTTCCGAGTACTGATCCAGCCACGCTCCCAGGATGGAAGAGATGGTGCTGAGGGAAGGGCACTCAGTTTCAGAGCAACTCTGGTGGGCTGTGTGACAGGGAGGGTGGGACAGACGGGACCAAAACGACGCCAGCCCACCTGACCTTCCCATTTGCTAACACACCCTGTCTGTATCCCAAAGAAAGTCCCGTCCGACTACGTGGAGAAAGAAACAGAAACTGAAGCAACATAGGAGTGATCCAATTACGCTGGGCTCGCTTGCTCATGCAGACAGGCTCATGGATCACGATAAGCTCTAATCTCCAGGGGCAACTCCCTGCAGAAGCGTCCGAAACCTCGAACATCCTGCTGGCTGGAAGCGAGCGGAAGAGGCCAAAGGCAACCAACAGCTTGGGGGCCAGAGACTTACTTTTTCAGCTCCTGCCTCTCGTCCACAGCACGCCTGGGGTGCTCGCCATTGGCCTGCGGGTGGAGCTTCCCGTATCTAAGAGGAGAAGAACGCCAGTCAGTCCTCGAGAAGTTATTGGTATCTTCACATGACATCTCGTCCCCCAAGCAGCTTACAGCAGTGTGGCAATTCCATCTTATACAACAGCCCTGCAAGGAAGGCCCGGGCTGAATGAGCAGGACCGTCCCAGGCTCAGCCAGTGAGAGCCCAACTTCCGAATGGCTGGGGCACTCTTTGCTCGGACACTGGTGGGCCCGCCAGGTGCACTGTCAGAGAGGTGCCACGGGCCTGAGCCTGCCATGTCATTCATATGGGACTGACGGAGCCACAGGTAATGCTCCAGGCAGAGAAGCTCATTTACTGGGTGGTTTAACAGTACAGTAGATATAAGCCAGTGAGAGCCAGTGTGGTGTAGTGGTGAAAAGCATGGGACCGGGACTCAAGACGATCTGGGTTCGAGTCCCCGCTCAGCCATGGAGCCCACTGGGCCAGTCACAGACTCTCAGCCCAACCTTCCTCACAGGGTTGTTGTTGTGGGGATAAGATGGAGGAGGAGAATGATGTAAGCTGCCTTGAGCCCTTTATAGGAAAAAGGCAGGATATAAATCGAAAAACAAACAAACAAATAAATAAAGCCTTTGAAGAGTCACAACTGGCCAGCCCACCTGAGAGTCTACTGCGCAAGAAATACCTACTTTCATTTGCCTGTATTCATGCACGGGTCCCTGATCCTATTGGGGATTCGTTCGGGAACACAACCAGGAATCCCCACTTCTGGGAGAGGGAGGCCTTTAAAAATGCTGTGCTGAAGGCTAGTGCTGAAATACCCACCACCTGCAACCCACATTTCGAAGAAATGATCATTAAAAAGGGATATGGCACTGATGCTATTGATATTGGGTGGGTTTTCCCTACTGCTTTTCTTTATGTTATGGTATATTTTTAAAAGCCAGTCTAGATAGACTGTTAGGGTTAAAACACCCCACATGTTGTAGAGAATAGCATGATAGAACCATCTGAATAGTCAATGAAAAAATAATGCACCGCTATAAAAATTTCAGGCGGGGTGTAGGGCTAGCAAGAGCACCAGACTTGCTAGTCTCCAAAATCTGCTGCTGGCCGGGTAACTACATGCACCGCCTGCTGGGGAACATGGGTTGGAGGGCCCTGGTGCACTCATCTCCTGCTTTGGCCTTCCTTCGGGGCCTGAGGTCCAACGCCACTGGCCCCTGCGCTCGTCAGCGGGACGCTCACACCAGCCCCGCACCCAGAACCCCCCGAGCGGCCAAAGAGGCGGGAATTACTTGTTCAAGAGGAGGTCCAACACCTGCTTGGTCGTGGCAAAGGCTCGGTACGTGCACAAGAAGATGGTGACATATGTGGAGTCGTTGCCCTTGAACGCCGAGACCAGGTACTCCACCAGCTTCTCCAGGGTCCCGGCTTTGATGGTCCGCACCTTGCACGTCTCGTAGAGGTTTAAGGCTGACTCGTTTTCAAACTGCAGGGGCACAGGCGGGTGGCAGGGTGAGGAGCAGCACCTGAGGGCCAGGTGCCCTTCCAGAGACGCTGGGAGGGGTAGGATCCCAGCAATGCAAATGCGAGGGAGAGGGACTAGCGTGGCCCAAACCGTGTCTTTAGCTCTCTGCCAGTGCTAAGCCTTAAGAGAGGTAGTTCAAACCTCCAGAACAGGGGACACATGAACAAAAAAAGCCAGGAAAGCACAGAAGAATCAATGGAAGTTGGGAAGGTGCCTTGGATTCAGGATGGACCAGGACACCGAGCGAGGCCCAAAATTCTCCAACCCACAACTGAAAGTGGCTATTACGGCACACCTGAGCTCTAAAGCTCTCTGGTATCCAAAATTACTTGCAACTGGGGCCAACTAGAGTGTAAACAATTAGAATTAGGCTTCGGCGAATGGGACGGCATAAAAATGTTTTAATAAATAAATAAAATAAAATTTGGCTTCCGATAATTGGATGACAGAGCAGGCCACTGAGAAAGCAGGTCAGCTCTCAACACAGTACTTTTGACACCTCTTTTTTTTTTAAATCAAGTTTCTTGATTTACATGGTGGTTAAATCAGAATTGAAAAGTAATGGGTGGCAAGAGTTTAGAAGTGGTAAAATAATTTTGCTGAAGGACTTTAGTGGGGAAGCAGGTTGAATTTAATTGCTGAGGACAGGAAAAGCTGAATAAATCAGATCTACAAAACCGTGTAATTAATACAGGTACAGAATTCAGATTTTCAGTTTGTTCATCCCCATAATTTTCCTTTAAAAAGGGCAGTCTGCATTCCAGCCCTTCACACAAATTCATAATTTTCAGTATGCTTCCACATTTTTTGTTACATGCGGGCCCGAGGATGTTTCTGTCATGCAAATCGTTTTTTCACACTTCCTTTTAGGATTTTTCCTGTTTTTTTTCCAGGGTGGGGGGAATAAAAGCAGAGCAGGGGTCACTCAAGTGTCAAGGTTCCTCTGTAGCTGTTGGGAGAAGAAGCAAATGGATTCCGATGTGACCAGACAGCCGGAAAATGCCAATAATAATGCGAAAAAGCCCTTCACTGCATTCCAGATTCTCCCCCCACTGCATGCAGCTCCATGGCGGTCTGGACGCATCAACCGTGGCGGGGCTGAAGGTGGGCAACATGGAAACTGTGTCAGCCTGACGCCGCAAGCCGCCAACAATCTGGGCAGCATCAGCAGGACAGCGAGGCGGCGTTTCTTAACCTCTTAGTCTCCAGGAATGGAAGCACATTCCTACAAAGCAATGCTCGGGCGCAGGGTTAAAGCGTGCGTGCAGGAAAGTCCCTGGGCTTTGCATTGTGCTGAGCTCTTGGATCAAAACGGTGAAGAGAGCAGACTTTGCGCCAGTTAAGCTCCAAGTTTAAAATGCCATTGGACTGTCATTTGTGGGCACTTTACAGAGTCCAAATAGCACGGAACACTTGCGACCAACAGTTTTGCGTAGGTGAGTGAGCAGCGAGCTCAGAACCACATGAGTGGGAAGAAGAGAAATAGATGGTCCAGTCCCTCATCTGTTCAGAAGAAGAAGAGGTCTTTAGAATTTCCTGTCCCGCACTTCCACGTCACCAGCCTTCCAGTAAGGCTGGTAAGTAATTGTGCAGGATAGTCACTTTTGCAAGGCTGACACAGTCTTTCTGACACATTCAGTGGAAGCGTGGAGGTTGGGGAAAGCGCCGAGTTCACGTCCTCCTTTCCTGGTTCCAATGGTTTGGTCTTATTCTGTGGCGGCGAGCCACTCTCCCCGCAAGGCTGTGTTCCGATTTGGAGAAGCCAAAATAGCAGCATGTTGCCACTTCAAACTTGACTGTCGATGCATAATCTTTAGGAGAGGCATCACAGCTTTTTAGGATGAAGGGAGAACTCACAGAAGCGAGGAAACCAGTAAGCGACTGGTCCTCAGGGAAAAGGGCTGTGACCCTCTGGGGAACCTCAGAGCACCTCGTCTGAAGCTCTGTGCCCTTGGTGCAGCGCAAAGCACAAATACAACTGTACGCACAGAGTCATTCTTTCCACAGATAAGTATGTGGAGGGTGGGAACAAATGTACGATCCTAAATTCTCTTGCATCTACTATCCATGCATTTACTGAGTATGTGAAAAGAGCCTCTTTCACACAGCCTCAGGTTTCCCCATCTACACAGAAGGCCTACCATACAGGATTGTTGTGGGGGAAGCCATGTTTGACGCACTCAGAGGCATTACAACGGTTCCAAAAGCCAAATAGTGCCTGGTTCCTAACTCACCACCCCGCACCTTTTTACCATTGCATTTTAAATGGCTTTTCTTTTTAAAATCTCCCACATCTTTTCAGCCACATAACAACAAGCCCTGTTACTATTCAAAATGTTTTCCGCTTGCTTAGAAACACCGCACCCTCCATTCTCTCACAGGGAAATGCCCCAGAGAAGCAGTCAGATGCTATCTTTCTCCAGGGCAAAAATGACACTCATCGGCTCTCTGGCAGAATTCAGCAAGGTCAAAAACTCCAGCATTAAAAAAAACAAAACAAAAACAACGTTTCTAGCACTTAAGGCTGCAAATAGGGTTGTAACTGTGTGGGCAAAGTTTACAGCAACCGCCAACACTGAGGTGCGCCTCCAATTAAAAAACTGGCATAAAATTACACCAAGTAAGAGTGAAATTTGATGCCAGTTCAGAAAGAAAACATCCTACCATCCCCAGCCAACACGCACAGGATTTTCACATTTTGAAAATACCTCAAATGTGCTTAACTTACAGAATATATGCAGCATGAGGAAACAGACTTTTCTTTAGACAGAATTTAAATGTGATTTTTAAATACGGGGCATGCACAGTGCTATGGCCTTGCTGTCTTTGTGAATCAACACATGCTTCCCGACCACATTCCTAAGTGAAAGATGGAAAGCAACCTGTGTTTTGCCTGAATTCAGTTGGTTGTATAGAAGTCCTATTGCCATCGAAGCTATTTATTTGATATTATGAACTGTTTTTATAGCTGTTAGTGTACACCATTCTGAGAGCTTGCTGCTGATCATCAGTACAGAGAAGCTTCGATAAATAAACAGCATGTCTGTTGTCTGTTGACAGAGAATTTGCATTATAGCTTCCTGCCTTATCGGTTTATTAATTAACTGAGTGAATATAGATAGTGCCTAACTGGCAGATAACTTTGGAGCAATGTACACTAATTAAAATAAGTTCCAAGTACAGTATCAACCAGTAAATATGAATATGCATCTGCATCTCCCAGGCCACGTGTGCTTCTGAGACTTGGTCATCAGAGCATTTGCAGCATTAGAAGCACAGTTCAAGTGTCTGAACTACCTCACGTTCAGTATTTACAATGACCCTGTAATGTTGGCTAGGGCAGAGGACGACTCTGCGACAGCGACTCCTGTGTTGGTGGGAAAACTCTCCCCAAGGCTGCTCAACTGGTGCCGAGGCGGCCCTCATTCTGATGATGGGTGAAGATGGCCCGACTTTCCCGAGAATTTGCTTATTTATTTATTTAAAACTTTTTAAGACTGTTCCTTACCGAAGTTTTGGGACGGTTTAACAGTAAGAAAAAAAATAATGCGGATGTTAGTTACGGCCCAAGTGTGGCAGATGGCTTCTGCAGTTTTTATTCTAGGTTTTGCAGCAGGAATGATTTTGTGAATTGTGGACAAACTCTTTCTCTTTGGTACTGTTTTAAAATCACGCTTTTATGGTGCTCATTTTTACTTGTAACGGTGCCGGCTATAGTTATATGATTTTGAGGGTTTCTTTCTTGTTTACGAATAACGAGTTCTGCATTTGTTTGAAGTGCGCGTTCTTGCTGCAAGACAGATTTCTACAGTGGAAAGTGACACAACGTTTAATAAAAATGAATAGTAATTAATGACAGATACCAATGAATGATAATAAAAATGATGGTGGGGCAGACAGCTAAGGCAATGACTGAGCCAGTGACTGCCACAGCAGACTTACCCCGAGCCACCGCTGTCCCTTGTTGGCCGTGTGATGGAGCTGGACTTTCCGCAGCGAAATGCTGTAAATTACACCATCTTCTACCTCTTCTCCAATCTCCTGAGTGGAGCTCTGGCCGGGAGACAAAGGAAAGAAGAAAGTAAAAACAAGTAAATACATACCATTCTGTCCACTTACTGCAACAAACAAATGTGTCATGAAAGAGAAAAATTCCAGTCAGAGAGCAGGGCCAAGCCAAGAGAGTTTTCTGCACAGGGAGAGTATTAATACTGGCCTACTCTACAGGACTGTTGTGGGGAGGTCTTAGCAAAAGACAAGACTTCACCCACTCCCATATAAAGAAGCTGACTGGACTGGCAGTCGAATTTTACCTCTGCACCTGAGGGACAGAAGGCCTTTGTTAAGCCATCTACCTTAACTGGAATGTGCATGGTCTGGTCTGAATGTTTGAGGGAGAGAAGTAAAGGGAATCTCAGGGAGGAAATTTGTCCATGTTCAGAGGCACCCAGCCCAAGGTGCCAACCTCTCTCAGCCAATGAAAGATTCTGCCTTTGGCAGGGAAGGGATATAAAAACCCAAACCTGTGGAGAAACCTGAAAGAAGCTGTGGGAAAGAAATCCATCCCTAATGGTGTGAATCACGGCACCGTTACTCAGGGCTGTTTGGTGAAGGAGAAAGACCGAAGGATACCAGGAGCCCCAAGAGCTTGTGCTGGAAAGCCAAGCCTTCCTTGCACAGATTTCTCACTCCTGGCCCAGGCAGCTTTGGGAAAAACCACTCAGCCTTTTGCCAGAGCTTCTCCCCAGGAAAGGGACCCGGGAGCCACAAATGAGACCTCTCACACGGTGCGCATGACGCACCTTGGAGTCTCTCAGTGCCCCGCTTTTCTAGCCCCAGTGCCCCGGTCACCAGCTCGTCTTGCTCCGCACCCTTCTTCTCAACCTGGTTCCCACCTGGGTGCTGGATGGGTGGGAGCCTGGGGCGTGGGGGGAACCCTGGCAAGGGCCAGCCCCCAGGGCCAGCCCGGCATGGACTTGGCTCTCGTTATCAGCTAGGGATGCCTGGCATTCCAAGAACAGAGACCGCAGCCCCACACCAAGAAGGGGGAATGAGCGCCTAGCCGGCCCACAAAGCTGCCCACAGGGGCTTGTGGCTTCCTTGTTTATCTAACCCGGGTCAGCTATTTGCCTGCCTTTCCACATTCTGGCAGGGATAAAAACAGCACACCTGATCACACATGTCCGGGACGTGTGGAGGGGTGTTGGGCGTGCTCTGGACAAATAGCTCAGGCCAATGCTTTGGACAGCTGCCAGTCTCTTTTGGGTTGGGTCCCAGTTTCCGATGACCCTTCTCCAAAAAGAAACAGCCACTGAGGGAAGGTAATTGCATTAATAACTCTCTTGCTCTCTTTCATATATAAATTTATAAAAACAGACAACTCCAGTTCCTCAATGCAGTTCCAAAACCTCCCAAGAGCTTTACATGTTCCAGCATGAAATTCCAGACTGCAGGAACCAAAGTGACTGCATTCCTAAAGCGTCCCGAGATGTTTGTAGTGGACGGGCTAGGAAAGCTTCTAATAAGTAAGGAAGGAAGGAATTCAGATTTCCCCTGCTCTGCACACAGGTGCACTCCCAAGAAGAATCTGTTCTATGAATACAGATGGATGCTCTGCAGTGCTTACTCAGCGAACTTGTATTACCAAAGAACTCCGGAGCAGAAATGGAAAGTTGACTTGGCAGTTTCAGCGTCAGCTCAGGCTCACGAGGCCTTGGGACGGAAGGGAGGAATGCCCGGGTTTGCTGAAAGTGCTTAAACAGCTTCCTTCCCCCTTTTTAAAGCAACCCATTCATATTTTACAGTCAAATGGTGCAAGAGCTGGAAGCTTACAAACAGACTGGTCACATTAGCGGAAACAGAAAGTCGAAAATTGCAAGGTGCTCCCAGCACGTGCATGCTTTCAACATATTGCTGGGGTCAGAATCTTTTTCCACTCCTTCCCCGGCTTCCCCACTGAACTGTGTGTCCCGTCCCCGCTCTTTCTGCAGAGCGTTCTTCCCATTTCCCAGAAATGGAAGCAGCAAAACTACACCGAAACAGAGGAAGCCCATCTGTCACCTGAGATAGCATTTCTGAATTTAGTGGTGGGAGGGGGGCTGCCACTGTGACCTGAAGATTACGTTTCTGCTAATGCAGCCAAATATCATTTTGGGCGTTTTAGCCGCTGCATCACATCACTGCCTCGTGCGATGCACTATCCCCATCAACAGAAAGTGAGCCATGACTGAATAGTTACCAAACTCAGTAAGTTAGCCACAACCCATAGAAAGATAGAAACATAGAAAACAGAGCAAGTCAGAAGGGGCCTCCCGGGCCATCTAGTCTGACCTCCATATTCATTTTAGGAGAATCTAAGGCAGTTTCTGGTTTGGACCCCAAGAGTTTCTGTCATGCCAGAAAACGTACAATGCTAAAAACTGCTCTTTTGGGACCACATCAGGATTAAACAACTGAGAGTCAAGTCTAACTGGTACCTTGAAATAATTTACTTTTTCCTTCCCTTAGTCAATGACCCCCAATTTCTCACAACTTGGACAGAACTTGGAGGGTTTGGCAAAGCGATCATCCGTTTGTGCAAAATGACAGTGCGATTTCTCCGGCAGCACCAAAGCGCCACTGTTAAGAGGCGAAAGTTCACCTCGGAGGTTTTGCTGAATCCGAGCGGCGTCTTCCACGTGCCCCAAGAAACTCAAGGACATGCATTTCAACAAGGCGTTCTGCTGGACACGTGGCACGTTTCGAAAAGGAGGCACGCAAGCTATCAAGGACAAGAATGAATCAGGACATATTTGGCACTGTGCATGGGAGTGTTTTTGCCAGCTTGACTGCCTGACAGTCCATCTCTGGACATAATTCAAACTGCTGCTAACTTTTCAGACCCCAAAGGGCCTGAGGCAGGTGACCTGAAGGAATGCCTCTCCCCAGACGTTAAGGTAACACTAGCAAATGAGGGAATGCAGGTGGCTAGAAGAGAGAGGGCCCCCCGGAGAAAACTTGTCTAGCTCCCACTCGTTTCTTCTGGCACAGAGCAGAGCCTGTTTCAGACTCTTTAGAAAAGATGCTTGGTGCGTTTAGCATTTTATTCCACTGCTTGTTTCAATTTGGTCTACTGCACTAGAACGGTTTTTTCCTTTCCTGATGGCTTCATGTTGGTGTTATTCAACGCTTTATTTCAGTAATACTTGCATTTTAGGTTGTTAATGGATTATACAGCAACCAGAAGATAATAAAAATACCTTTCAAAAATGCCAAAGTCCAATGCAGCAACTCAGTTTGGCGAGCTCATGACACCACTGCCTTCACAGAAACGCAGCGAGTCAGAAGGGACCTCCCGGGCCACCCAGTCTGACCCCTGGCTCCAGCCGGCTCTGCTCGTGTAATTCCCAGCATGTGGTTGCCCAGCCTGGTTTTGTCATTCCCGCCAGCAGGAGATGCACAAAAAAGCACCCTGGCTCCCACAAAAGGTGTGGGTTGCCGCTGTGTGCAGCAAACCAGACCCGTGACTTGCATGAGGCGAACTGCAAGGCTGTGCAAAGAATCCAAGCCCGACTCCCTCAGTCCCATAGCCGGGAAGGTAGAAGACGCATTGGAAGGTCCTTGGGGCAGGGATCTGTCCTTCTGTCTGCCTCCTCTGTCACATAAATAATCTCCGGTTTGGCAACGTGGTGGATGCCAAAGCGGTGGGCTTGGTAATGGGGGCAGCAGGGCTTGTCTGAGTGGCTTCTGGAAAGACGGGCGTTCACTGAAAGCAAGCCATTAGCAGGCAATTGTGGGCTACCTAGAGCGCCACTTAAGTGCCGTTAGTCAGCACTGCATCAGTAAAGACAAATATTGCGACCCGCAAGCGATGGAGGTGCTTCGGAAGGCTATTTTTAAAACACAGAAGCATCCCAGACCAGCATCCTGGACCGACGCCTCCCCGCACTGCAATTAAGACTTCTGGCCTCCATCCTGACGTGGAATGTGAATGCGGTCACATGGTACAGTTGGTGGCATATTTAAATATGCCAGCAGATAGACGGAAATTGTTCATTTGATGGAGGCCCATGTGCCACAGCTTCCCCAAGCACAGAAAGCTAGACTATCCCTGCAGCATGCATTACTGGGTTAGCTTTCCAGATGCAGGGAAATTCAAACTTGCGTTCTCCTCTCCTGTGTTTGTATTACTAAACCGAACGGTGCTGTGACGACTGCACTGCATGCTAAGTGTCCTCAAATTGGCCTGAGCGTTATGCTAAGTTGGCCGACTCGATTCCTGCCGCACCATGGCAGAGTGGGAGTTGCAGGGAAAAAGCAACCACTGCACCCCCTTGTTCTAAGCTGGGGTGGCAACCTCCCTCCACCCGAGGCCGAGTTCATTTCCAGAGAACCCTCTGGGGACTGCATTCGAGCAGCTGGTAAGGCCCAAGGCGATGGGAACAAGGCCAAAACTGCCATCCCGTTTTACCTGCAAGCATTTATTTATTGCCAGGAACTGAGTGAGGGAGAGCACTTCAGTCTCCAGTTCCAATGATGGGAAATCGCTTGCCAGAATCCAAGAAATGGGTCCAAGGGAAGGTGGGGGGGCCACCTGGGAGCTTGCGAGGGCTCCTCCCGCAGGGCTTCCACCTCTGACGCCGTTTTACCGGCCAACTCTCAGGTCACGGGGTCAGAGCCTTACCCTGGGATGGAGTCCCAGCAAAACACCGTAGAGTCAAGACGAGTGTGTGCAAGCGGGGGGGGGGGGGGGGGGAGGAACAGGAGGGAAAGGGGGCCTGTCTTTCCTAACACCTTGGCAGAGGTTTGCTTTGCAGCTTTCCATGAGTCACAACTCCCATCACTGTTATTATCACCTTCCGTTCCTGTTACTACACGAGCTGTTGGTTCAAGCTCACTGCTATTACAGGGCAAAAACATTTTTAGGATATTCCATGAATGGAACCATCTACGTTGCCCATAATAACTGTGAAAGCCCCTGAAGGGACAGCCTAAACCTCAGATTTAACCCCTCTGGGCTGTCATTTTTCTTGCCCTTTCCAGTCCATTTTATTCAGCCCCCTGAGGGCTAGAAA